CTAACGATGAGAATACCAGATGACCCATCATTTGAACTTAGCTATTCCCTGCCATTAAAAGTGTCCGATGGAGAAATAATTGGATCTCAACAGGCTGCAAAGCGACAGCTGATCTCTGCTTTGTGTTTGTGTGCTTCTAAAGCAGCCTCGGTAGAAAAGAGCACAATTAAGTGTGATACAAACAGGCAGGCACACTGGGGATCTCATTAGAGTGGACTCATTGCAACGAAATTGGTCTTCAGAAACGATGTCTTGTTCCTCTCTCACACCTTTTTTTTTTGCTCCTATTGTGTGCAGCATAGAACACACACGCTGGCTGAATCGTGTCTCCCTATTCTTCAAGCAATTCAGTCTTTTTATTACAGTATTAGGTCCTCACAATAAGCTTTTCTTTTATGAGCCTCTCACTGTTTTTTTTTTTACTCCAAATTCTGCCATGGCCGAAGAACTAAGCGCATCCCTGCAGCCGAGATCCAGGAAGCAAAATCTGCAAAGTCAAACATGTGCAAAAGGCCATGTGCTTTAACAAAAGAGCTTGCGGCGTTTAGGAGATGTTTTCAGAGGCTTCACCATGGAGACAGGGAGAGCATCAATTCATTTGTACAGCTGGTCTTTGACTCACAAGAATTCATTTAGTGAAAGTTCAAAGTTACAATGGCACTGAAAAAGGGGACTTATGTTATGACCGATCTTCACACTTACGACCGTTGCAGCATCCCCGGGGTCACGTGATTGAAATTCAGATGCTTGGCAACTGACTTGTATTTATGACGGTTGCAGTGCCCTGGGGTCATGTGATCCAGCTTTTGTGACCGTCTGACAAGCAAAATCAATGGGGAAAGCCATATTCACTTAATGACCAGGTTACTAGCTTAACAACGGCATGTCTACAGGTGGTCCTTGACTTACAACCATTTGTTTAATGGCAGTTCGGAGTCACAGTGGAGACGAAAAAGGGACTTAGGACCTGTTCTCAAAGTTACAATGATGCAAACACCCCTGCATCATGTGGTTGTGATTTGGGCACTTGGCCACCGGCTTGCCTTTATGACGGAGGCCGTGTCCCGGGGTCTTGTGATCCTGATTTGCAACTTCCAACAAGCAAAATCAACGGGGGAAGTTGGATTCGCTTAAGAGCCGCGGGGTTCACTTAACCATTGCCTGATCTGCTTAAGAATCGCAGTAAACATGGTTGCCAAATCAGGTGTGGTCATGCAATGGATCCTTTTATCACTTAGCGTCACTTGAACTCTGTAACCTCAGCTGTGGTCCTAAGCCAGTGGTGGTGAACCTATGGTATGCGTGTCAGAGGTGGCACTCAGAGCCCTCTCTGTGGGCACACGTGCCTTCATCCCAGCCCTGCCTCCCCCCACGGCCCCCTCCTCACCAGCAGTCCCTCCAGAGGAGAGTCGCCCCCGGGCACGGCCCGCACAGAGCAGCGCAGCCAAGGACATGGCAGCCGGATAGCGGGGACAAGATTCCGACCTTGCACTCCGTCACGCGCAGATGCTGCTGCAGGACATGGGTGGAGGTGTGGTCACCATGGCCACCATGGCGCTGCTGGGCCGCCTGGGCGATCTGTTGCGGCGGCCTGTGGAGGCGGGTGGCCCTGTGGGCAGGCGGGGCCCGGGGTGGCAGGCAGGGCAGGGGCGGGGTGGCTTTTGGGCACTCGGTCTCTAAAAGGTTCGCCATCACTGTCCTAAGCCCTCGACTTATGCTTAACAACCACAGTAAAAATGGTTGTAAAATTTCGATGACAGCCTCGCTTAGCAACCTAATTTCTGCTCTCCATTGTGTATCTCAGAGAAAGTACAAAAGCCTGGGGTTAGAATCTTTTCCCCAGGTGCAAAGAAGGGGCCGTTTTCTGTTCTTTCTCAGAAGCAATTAACTGCTTAGCCATTGGAGAAGCAAGCTATTCTTCCCTTCCAAAGCCGAGATTATTCAGGTATTTAAAATCCACCTATGGGAAAAATGCTTGGTGTGTGGTTCCCTTGGGGAACGGATATGTTTGTTTGCACTGCAATTATTATTATTATTTTCTAAAACGTAACAGACTGCTTTGTAACGGAATCGCTTTCCCAAATGCAGGGATATGCTCCACCAAGTGTGTTACCTGTGGAGAAACCAAAGCCAGATCTCCAATGGGGGCAAAATTCCCTTCTGTGGGAAAATTGCTCTTCATTTTAGGGAACGATAGAGTGAAAAAAATCTACGTGGAAAAAATCAATCTCCGTTTGCTTATGAGGAGACAGAAAAGTCAACTAGGCCTTTAAGCTGTTGCCTTAGAAATTTTAATATCCCACGTTCCAGACCGATGTATTTATTTTTCTAACCGGAAAACCATTTGTTGAAATGGTAGAGGGTTTCCTGCTTGCGCAGGGGGTTGGACTAGAAGATCTCCAAGGTCCCTCCCAACTCTGTTATTCTGTTAATTGTTACTTTCAATTAGCCTAGTCTACCATTTTGCCTTGGTGGGTAAAGTTGGGGTTACTGGATTCTCACTTTATGGCAAACTGTTAGATTAAGCTAAGGCATGATTGACAAAGTAAGAATTGGCATATTGAAGGAGTTAGTATGTATGTGAATCATGGTCTCTTTGCTAAGCCCTAACAGGGTTTGAAAGATGGAGGGCAAGAGAAGAAGGGGACGACAGAGAATGAAGTGGCTGGATGGAGTCACTGAAGCAGGAGGCGTGAGCTTAAGTGGACTCCAGAAGATGGTAGAGGACAGGAAGGCCTGGAGGAACGTTGTCCATGGGGTTGCGGACATGACTTCGCAACTAACAACAACAAACAGGGTTTATTTCTTTGGGACAGAGCTTCTGCCTTGTGTACGTCCAATAATTAAGCTCATCTTTCTTCTTCGTTTGATGTTGTAATTTCTGGCAGAAGAAAATGTCCATCTTTGGGTGGACTTCTCCTAAAATATTTTCACGGATGAGAATATATCTTAGGAGGAGACTCAATGCTTTCTGTTTGGAAAATTCTGGCATTTCCTAATGTGATATTCTGATGTTATGACACAGAAGCCTTCTTCTCTTTTACTGGCTATGAAGTAGCCGGAAGACAAAATTATACTCCAGATATCAACTTTTGGGTGACTGAGACCTTCACTTACAATTAATAGCAGTCAGAGCATATGTGAGGATTTTACTTAGCGCTCTTTGAGCCTGGTTGTTTTTATGCAGATGTTTTGTTACCCAAACTAGGTCACATCATCAGTGCTGGCCAAAGGTTTAGATCAGTGGTGGCGAACCTATGGCACGGGTGCCAGGGGCGGCACTCAGAGCCCTCTCTGTGGGCACGCGCGCCGTCGCCCCAGTCCTAGGCCTTCAGCTGGGTTTTATAAAACCTTTTCGCTTTAGGCCTCCGCCGCCGTGTGCAAAAAAAAAAAGGTTCAATCAATCAGTCAATTTCAACTTCTCGCGGGGGAAAAAAACAGATCTTGCAAAGTTGGAATTGATTGATTGAACTTTTTAGTCCCACCCAGTCAGCTGTTACCACCGCAGCCACGCCCACCCAATGGGCCACGCCCACCCAATGGGCCACGCCCACCCGGCACCTGACGATGCATAAGTGGGTTTTGGATTGCAGTTTGGGCACTCGGTCTCTAAAAGGTTCGCCATCACTGGCTTAGATGTTTTATGAAACATCTGCATAAAAAGATGATCAGGTGGACTGGAGGCTAAAACATATAAGGAACGGTTGCTGGAATTGGGTATGTCTAGTTTAATGAAGAGAAGGATGAGGGGGGACATGATAGCAGTCTTCCAGTATCTCAGGGGCTGCCCCAAAGAAGAGGGAGTCAAGCTGTTCTCCAAAGCGCCTGAAGGCAGGACAAGAAGCAAGGGATGGAAACTAACCAAGGAGAGAAGCAACCTGGAACTAAGGAGAAACTTCCTGACAGTTAGAACAATTAACCAGTGGAACAACCTGCCTCCAGAAGCGGTGAATGCTCCAACACTTTAAGAAGAGACTGGACAGCCATTTGACCGAAATGGTATAAGGTTTCCTGCCTGAGCAGGGGGTTGGACTAGATGACCTTCAAGGTCCCTTCCAACTTTATTATTACTATTATTATTATTGTTGTTGTTGTTGTTGTTATAACAATCAAGTTCAGAGAACACCAAGGACCCCTCAATTCCACCCTGAGCTGCAAATATTCTTTATCAGAACATATGTGGACCTAATATTATCAATGGGTCGCTGCAGAAGTTGGGACTGTTTTTTTTCCTGATCAGTTTAAGGAAACTTTCCAGGAAGGGATTTTTGTGTTGCTGTTATCCGTATCAAGTCAGTTCACACCCTTTGGTGGATCAAGAGAAGGGAAACGGCTCTCCCAAATTTCACAGGGTGAGGATGGTGGTGGTGGTGTGTGTGTGTGTTGAGGATTGCAAAAGAAAGAGATTTGGGGTTATTATGGGTTGGCTGTGGGTTGCCTGGCCCAGGTGTGTATTTATTTATCAAATATTTATTGATTTGCATCCTGCCTTTATTATCTTTACAAATAAGTCAAGGCAGAGAACGTTATCCAACACAACTTCCTCCTCCTGTTGTCCCCACAACGACAACTCTGTGAGGTAGGTTGGGTTGAGAGAGAGAGGGACTGGCCCAAAGTCACCCAGCTGACCGCCCATCTCACCGCTGACTTTGGCAACATCCTAAAACTACGAGAAGAAAACCCTCCCGGAGTCCACTGTTAGCTCCAGAATCCACTAGGCTTTCTCCCATTCTTTATTTCTCAGCAGCCTCTTTTGGATTTTTCCAGAAATGGTCTTGGGCAGGTCTCGAACAAACTCGATCTAATGAACACAGAATGCATTGCATTTAAAAGAAAGAGAGAGAGAGAGAGAAAAAAAAGACTGTCAACCCTTTGAGGTGGTCTAGACAAGAAAACTAGGAGGACTAGCATTACCTATTGTGTGTTTAAGGTTGCATTAACAAAACCTTGCACGTCTCACACTACATCTCTCGTCTCTCGCCTTTATAGTCTACGAAACTTTTGAGATGTTTGCCACACAACATTCTTTCTGTGGACACAGCTGTCTGTTATCTGATCATTGGTTCCTCTTCCTCCTCCTCCTCCTCCTCCTCCTCCTCCTCCTCCTCCTCCTCCTCCACTCCATTCTAGCCCTGATGATGTTACCTAGCTGGGTCATGAAATGTCTCCTGTTGTGTCAAGGACTCACCTTTCTGGGATACTTATATGGAGCTGTAATTTTCTTCACATGTCCTTGCAGCTCCACGCTTAATTTCTCTCTGTCTTGTGATTGGTAGGCAGAAGTTAGGATGATAAAAGCTTTTACCACCTACAGGCAAGTCAGGGTAAAAGAAGATGAATTAGCATGACTTTGTGCAAAGTTAGCTTTCTGGTACTATAGGAATAATGCTTAATAATAATGTGAGTGATAATAATAATGATAATACCAATAGTGATAGTTGCCTTGGGTGCAATCCCCCCCAAAATGAGACCACTGCTTGAACACCATCACAGCATTGACAATATTGCCATCGGTCAATTGCAGAAGGCAGCTTTATAAGGAACGGTCTACATCCAATATCTTTAACATCATTGATTTGCTTATCCCAGTTCTTTAGGAAGGACTCAGTGTATGAATAAAAATGCCAAATCCAGTCTAAACATCTGGCTGTGTGACTAATCATAATGATAATTAAACTTCCATTTGTTCCCTGGAATATTGAGTGTTGTTGTCTACTGATTGTCTACTGATTGGGACTACGAGTCTATCTTGCTTAGCATGACCTATATCAGCGGTTCTCAACCTATGGGTCGGGACCCCATTTGGGGTCGATCGACCATTTCACGGGGGTCGCCAAGCAAGGCTGTCCGCCATTTTTTCCCCCTTTTCCGGTGGGTGCCTTACCTCCCTTGAGCTGGGCCAGCTGGTGGTCGGCCTGCTCCGTCTCTGCCGCTTGCCAGCTACGCCTCGGCCGGTGCAGGGGGCGGAACCACGCATGCGCGGCGCTCCCGGGCAGGGAAAGTCCTCGACTTAAAACGGTTGGGTAGTCCTCGACTTACAACCGGTTTAGTCCTCGACTTACGACTGGTTAAGTCCTCGACTTACGACCGGTTGGGGGTCGCGGCATTAAAAAGGTTGAGAACCACTGACCTACATTAGTTTTCTTCTAGTATCCTCAAGATGTCTCTGACCGCTGCCTTCACCCAGCAAGGAAGGGACATCAGACTAAAAGATTATCACATTAAGATTTAGCATGTTGTTCAAGCTGGCACAATGTGCCTAATGCATTGAACCATGGCTAATACGGTGGATAACAGAATAACAGAATAAACTTTCCTTTCTTCCATACTGTGCTTAGGAACTATGTTGTGCTCTTCTCCTTACAGAAACAAATTTCATAGCATTGTGATTTTTTAAAATGCGAAACAGAATTCGATGAGATCAATGAAAGACTGGTTAATTAGGGCAGAAGAGATACCAATAGATCAGGGTTTGGTCATTTTCAGGACCCTGGAGAGCTCCCCATAGACTAAAATAGTACTGAAGAAGAGAGCTGTTAGAATAGATAGAGATCTTCTAGTCCAGGGGTAGGCAACCTTGGCTCTTTTATGACTCGTGGACTTCAACTCCCAGAATTCCTGAGCCAGCCACGCTGAGGGGAAAGGGAAAGATTTCCAAGCTGAGCCATGCTGGTTCAGGAATTCTGGGAGTTGAAGTCCACGAGTCATAAAAGAGCCAAGGTTGCCTACCCCAGTTCTAGTCCAACTCTCTGCTCAGGCAGGAAACCCTGTACCATTTCAGACAAATGGTTGTCTTAAGAACTTCCAGTGTTGGAACATTCACAACTTCTGGAGGCAATTTGTCCCACTGATTAATTGTTCTCCCTGTCAGGAAATGTCTCCTTAGTTCTAAGTTGCTTCTCTCCTTGATTAGTTTCCATCCATTGCTTCTTTTCCTGCCTTCAGGCACTTTGGAGAATAGCTTGACTCCCTCTTCTTTGGGGCAACTCCTGAGATACTGGAACACTGCTATCATGTCACCGCTAGTCCTTCTTTTCATTAAACTTTCACTAAAGTTATGTTGCTTCATAACTTCCTGCGCTCAGTCAAGCCTTTGGAGAGAACATCTCTACTCCTTCCTAATGTGGACTATGGAATAAAATTACCCTTTCTGAAGCCTTTCCTTGACTGAGGAACAGCAGAAGCTAAGGAAGAATGATCACAAGATCTGAAATCTCAGATTATGGGAGGCTATGGCCTCAGATGAGGAGGCACATAAGGGTGATGAGGGATTCTCAGCAACTGGGTGACCTAGGGTGATCATGTTCTAAACCCTTGTTGGGTTCCTGACTGTGAGGACCTAATACACAGCATTATGGCCACCTCACTGTCAACGCTGCAAATACTGTATATTCTTGCTTTGACAATATGCAGAACTGTCTGGTATTTATATAGTTAAACCAGCAACTGGGAAAGAGGGAGGAGCATAAGGATAGCCCGGGAGAAAGAAACCGAAGTAAATCACATCTTCCAAGTTGATTGGAAGATGTGAACCATGACCCTACAATAAGGGAGTGGGAAATGCTTGGGATGTATATGCGTAACGGAAGAGAAGCCAGACCTAAGCATTTCCACCATGCTGTACTGACGTCTCTGTAACCTTAATAAATGCTTTTAGGAAAAAATATGCCTGAAAGTCCTTTTAAGTGTTTCGTTAATCAGACACATGACACTCACCTCTCCTCTGATGGAATCTGGGCTGCTAACAACAGCTGCTTCAGCTACTGCAGGATGCTTCATCAAAGCTTGCTCCACTTCAAAAGGACCAATGCGGTATCTAAATAGGAAAATACCATAATTCAAGGGAGACTCTTTAGGCTGCAGGCCAAAAACTCCAGTTTGATCTCTGAAGAGTCACTGACCATCAGTAGCCACCCAGATGTTGATAAGCCAAAGCTTAAGAGATACTGGGAGCCACACAGAGAATTAAAATACTTAATTGCTTTCCAAAATTAACACGAAGCATTTGCTTTTGGCAAGTTGAGCATGCACAAAAAGTAGAGAATGGAAACTGGAAGATCACTGAATGAAAAGAGCTAATCTCTACACACCTTGGAGATCTCAAAAATTCTGTTCATTGATGGAAATGTTTTAATAGTGTAAATGGAATTGTTGACCTCATTTCCATGAGTTTTGTTTTTATTATTATTATTAATAATAACAACAACAATAATAATAAAAGTTGGAAGGGACCTTGGAGGTCATCTAGTCCAACCCCTGCTCAGGCAGGAAAGCCTATCCTATTTCAGACAAATGGCTGTCCAGTCCCTTCTTAAAAACTTCCAATGTTGGAGCATTCACAGCTTATGGAGGCAGGTTGTTCCACTGATTAATTGTTCTAACTGTCAGAAAATTCCTCCTTAGTTCTAGGTTGCTTCTCTCTTTGGTTAGTTTCCATCTGTTGCTTCTTGTCCTACCTTCAGGTGCTTTGGAGAATAGCTTGACTCCCTCTTCTTTGTGGCAATCCCTGAACACTGCTATCATGTCCCCCCTTGTCCTTCTCTTCATTAAACCAGACATACCCAATTCCAGCAACTGTTCCTTATATGTTTTAGCCTCCAGTCCCCTAATCCATCATGTTGATGGAATCTCGCTCTCTCTGTGTGTGGTGTGTGTTTGTTTGTGTGTGTATATGTGGCGGGATGGGGATGGTGGTCTGTTATTGTGGTACAGGATTGAGTATCTGGCCTATGAAGGCATCTTGGATTTTGCATTGCCATTGTTGTTGTTAAGCATCTCAGATAGCTTGCAAAGCCTTAGCAAACATCAAAGGTCTACCCAGAAGTCAAGATAATGTCATCTGCTCTTGAAATGAACTGGACGTATCCCTCTTCATCCATGAGTCCTCGGTCTCCAGTGAGGTAGTAGTCCCCACGTTCAGTAGCGCTGGTTTTTTCAGGATCGTCCTAAGGGAAAAGAAACAGGCAATCTACACATTCTTTGCTGGGTGGCTGCAACATTGAGGAAGTCCACACTTGTGAATGTGATCCATCCGTCCATATTGAACTCTCAAGCTTCCTCCTTCCATGATGTATTCAAGATGAACAGTGTATAATATTTATTTGTTATGTATATGTAGGGGTGTGGGTCCATACATATGTTGTGTATAGTATGTTTAGGTGTGTGTCATGTATCTGTTCACTTTGAGAGCGGGCAAGTACATTTCATTTTTGAGGTGTGCCGTTGTGGTCACAGTAAAAAATGACAAAGGTTATCTCATCTCATCTCATCCCATCCCATCCCATCCCATCCCATCCCATCCCATCCCATCCTATCCTATATCCCATCTTCTCTTCTCTTCTCTTCTCTTCTCTTCTCTTCTCTTCTCTTCCCTTCCCTTCCCTTCCCTTCCCTTCCCTTCCCATCCCATCCCATCCCATCTGATCCCATCCCATCCCATCTTCTCTTCTCTTCTCTTCTCTTCTCTTCTCTTCTCTTCTCTTCTCTTCTCTTCTCTTCTCTTCTCTTCTCTTCTCTTCATCTCATCTCATCTCATCTCATCTTATCATATATGTGGAAACCCCATAGGCTCTGCCTGGGCCCTAGCCTCATATTTCAGCTTGCCGAGACCCACAGCATCCCAACCCAGAACGTTCTCAAATCATCTCAGTTCAAGACTCTTTCCCACCCCACTTGTCCTTCACTGGCTAGCAATTATCCAATGAAATCTCCCTCTACTCAACACAAGGTCATTGCCTTGCCCAATATGAACTGGGAATGTTGGGGAACAGAGAAGGACAGAAGCTTCCTTTGAAGCTTCACCCCCGAACATTTCTATCGCTTCTCATGAGGGCTGAGGGACAATGGCTTGTGCTGTCTCCCCGGAGATAAGCTCTTCTACTTCTTGAAATTTGCTCAGTTGTTTGAGGGCTTCCTTCCTTACCACATAAGCACTGAAAAGACCCACAGGCCTTTGCGGCTTGATCTTTACAGCAATGTCTCCTTCTTCTCCAGGGGGAAGGCGATTGGCGTTTTCATCGATGATCTACAAAGAAAGGGAAGCTATCAATGGCCATTCGCGCTTCCCTTTGGACTTTTTTTTTTTATAGGACCTCTTTGGCTAGCAGATTGATTGTAATGTACAATTCGCAGGGTATTGAGTTATGCTATACAAAGGAATTTTTCCACCTTACGATAAGGTAGTTCTCGACGGTCATAAATATGAAGCAGATGTCAAGCGTCTGAATTTTGATGGTGCGAGCATGGGGAATGCTGCAGGGGTGGTGTGAAAAATGGCCACGAGCTCCTTTTTTTCAGTGCCCTTGTCACTGAACGAACTGTTGTAAGTTGAGGACGACCTGTATTGACACTATCCATTACAAAATGGTGGACTTACCTGGAGATCAATGCCAGAAAGAGGCTTTCCAATGAATCCAGGTTTAATTTTCATCCCTTTTCTGGTGCTGCAGAGCAGGGACTGTGAGGACAAATTATAGGAGTGAAATTAAGTTATACTTTTTATAATAATAATAATAATAACAACAACAACAACAACGACAACAATGACAACAACGATGATGATGTTGGAAGGTACCTTGGAGGTCATCTAGTCCAATACCCTGCTCGGGCAGGAAACTCTATACCATTTCAGACAAATGGCTATCCAATCTCTTAAAAACTTCCAATGTTGGAGCATTCACCGCTTCTGGAGGCAGACTGTTCCACTAGTTAATTGTTCTAACTGTCAGGAAGTTTCTCCTTAGTTCTAGGTTGCATCTCTCCATGACTAGTTTCCATCCGCTGCTTCTTGTCCTGCGCTTTGGAGAATAGCTTGACTTCCTCTTCTTTGGGCAGCCCCTGAGATATTGGGACCCTGCTATCATGTCCCCCTTCGTCCTTCTCTTCGTTAAACTAGACATACCCAATTCCAGCAACTGTTCCTTATATGCTTTAGCCTCCAGTCCCCTGATCATCCTTGTTGCTCTTCTCTGCACTCTTTCTAGAATCTCAACATCTTTTTTACATCGTGGTGACCCAAACTGGATGCAGTGTGGACCGCTGAGCAGGACGTTACCAAGTCCATGTTTGAGACCCGAGAGTTGCCCTGGGGCAGGGTTGAGCTTCCTGCCAGGGAAGTGAAAGGAGCCCCCAACTGGGTATCCCCAGGGCAAGGGTGACGTCACTGGCTAATCCTTTCAACCCAGAAGGCCTCAGTGCCTCTGACACAAGTGCACGCATGCACTGATCACATCACATCCTGGCTTTGTGGGTGAAGACAGGGTCTCGGCTGAGTAAGTCTGGAAAAGTTCCATGCCTTTCGTCTTTTGAACCCTTTCCCTCTGAATGCTTATTAAAGACTCAACGGGTTGCAGACTTACACTTTCTGTCTGCCCGTAGGCTTCACGGATATCGCACCCAGTCTGTGCTTTCCACTGTTGCTGCACTTCCAGACTGATTGGCTCTCCGCCACTCGTGCAGGACTCCAGACTCTTGAACTTGTACCTGAACAAAGAGGAGAAGAAAGCAACGTTCTTCAGAAAGGGATCTTCAAAGCTTGGACTACTTGGACTCCAAAATATGAAAAACAGATCGCTGGGATCGATCACGGGTAGTCCTTACAGTTCATTTAGTGACCGTTCGAAAATTGATAAAACATTATGACTAGTGGATTTCAGCTTGCAGAATTCCTGAACTAGCCATGCTGTCTCGGGAACTCTGGGAATTGAAGTCCACCAGTCACATAGAGGCCATCGTTCCCCATCTCTGGGATAATGTGTCCCCATCCTGGTCCTTCTCATCTTCCAAAAGTGTTACAAAATAACACAAAGCACCATAGAAGGGTGTTCTTCTCATGCAAGTTACTTGTACCTGCTAACATTGTGTTGGAGCAGCATCCGAAATATGGTTGGCGTGCCACAAAAACATGTCACCGGATACTTGACAAGAGACTGAATAAAGGAGAGGAAGCAATTTTTAATACCACTGAGTAAGATTTGGCAATTGGCATCGAGAAATACAACGGGTAACTGAGTAATACATAAATAAATAAGCAAATCTTGTAGGGTCCCCCTAGAACAGTGATGGCGAACCTTTTAGAGACCGAGTGCCCAAACTGCAACCCAAAACCCACTTATGCATCGTCGGGTGCTGGGTGGGCGTGGCCCATTGGGTGGGTGTGGCCCATTGGGTGGGCGTGGCTGCAGTGGTAACAGCTGACTGGGTGGGACTAAAAAGTTCAGTCAATCAATTCCAACTTTGCAAGATCTGTTTTTTTCCCCCGCGAGAAGTTGAAATTGACTGATTGATTGAACCTTTTTTTTTGTACACGGCGATGGAGGCGTAAAGCGAAAAGGTTTTATAAAACGCAGCTGAAGGCCTAGGACTGGGGCGACGGCGCGCGTGCCCACAGAGAGGGCTCGGAGTGCCGCCTCTGGCACCCGTGCCATAGGTTCGCCACCACTGCCCTAAAACTTTAATTTAATTTAGATACTAGTGTGCAGTCAATTTACTAGTGTGCAGATAATTTTTTATCTTTTATGACTGTAGGACACCAGAATTACTTTGAGGTAAGATGGGTAGGCAACAAAATTTATAGCCCACCCATCTTACCTCGAAGTAATTCTGGTGTCTTACAATCATAAAAGATAAAAAACTATATAAACTACAAACATAAATGAGTTAATAACTTTGCGACAGCTATGACCTGGATGATTGAGGATCTCCATGAAAGAGGCGATGGGGACATTGAGTGGCTACTGATTCTCAAGTTTGAATTGTAGTGAAGAAAGCAGTAAACTTTTTCAGAAAATTTGGGAGGGAGAATCAGCTGTTGTACGTATCTTTGGGGATTATGACCGTCTGTCTGTACGGGACCTTTCAAATAAAACAATCTGGTTCTTACCTCCAGAACTACTTTGGGATCAAACTGGAGCATACCATGTTGAAATATACATGATCCCTGGCTCCAAGGAGAATAGAAACATCCTACGACAAATTTTATCCAGCCAGGATCAGAAAACCCCCACATAATGTCTGAAGACGTCAGAGCCAGCCATTCTCTGTTGATAAAGAAGCCAAGAGACATTTCGGGGGTGACATTAAGACTCATACTATAGCAGCTGTTGCAGGGGATTATTATTATTATTATTATTATTATTATTATTATTATTATTATTATTATTAGTTGGAAGGGACCTTGGAGGTCATCGAGTCCAACCCCCTGCTCAGGCAGGAACCCTACACCATTTCAGACAAATGGCTGTCCAGTCTCTTCTTAAAAACTTCCAGTGTTGGAGCATCCACCGCTTCTGGAGGCAGGTTGTTCCACTGGTTAATTGTTCTAACTGTCAGGAAGTTTCTCCTTAGTTCTAAGTTGCTTCTCTCCTTGATCAGTTTCCACCCGTTGCTTCTCGTCCTGCCTTCTGGCGCCTTGGAGAATAGCTTGACTCCCTCTTCTTTGTGGCAGCCCCTGAGATATTGGAAGACTGCTATCATGTCCCCCCTCGTCCTTCTCTTTGTTAAACTAGACATCCCCAATTCCAGCAACCGTTCCTTATATGTTTTAGCCTCCAGTCCCCTAATCATCTTTGTTGCTCTTCTCTGTACTCTTTCTAGAGTCTCAGCATGTTGTAACTTTCAACCCATGCAACTTTGAACCAAGGAATAGTTATAAGTCAAGGACCCCCTGTAATCAATCAGTTAATCAATGAAGAAATAGGTAGAGAGGGGTCAAATGCAGGCACATAGAACTACCTTGCAACCTTGTCCAGCCCAAACCCCAAACTGCCGTGGGAATGTTGCACCATTTTGGGGTAGCCCGTGGTCCCACTGGTAAAGTAGATGGTCATTGGGTCAAGGTTCTTCGTCTGAACGGGTTGATGCTGGTCAAAGGCAGCTCTGCAAAACAGAAGCAGGGTGTCAAGCATTGATTTAACAGCTAACCAGCTTATGTAATGTAAGGTGTAAGATGTAATGTAATGATGGGAGTGACTCAGCATGGTCTGTGTCTCTTCAAGAGCCTTGGTATAAAAGGAAGGCTCTGCTGATGTGTTCCCTCTCTCCCGTTTCCTGCTGTAATTGTGGTTTGTTGGATCCTGCTGTATTAGCACGTGTATGTATATTTCTTGCCGTAGCTGTTAAGTAATCACTGCAGTTGTTAAGTTAGTAACACGGACAAGTGAATCTGGCTTCCCCATTGACTTTGCTTGTCAAGGCCACAAAAAGTGATCACATGATGCTGGCACACAGCATAAGTACATGCCAGTTGCCAAGCCTCTGAATTTTGATCATGTGGCCATGAGGATCCTTCAAGGGTTGTAAGTGTCAAAAGTGGTCGTAAGTCACTTTTTTCAGTGCTATTGTAACTTCGGACAATCGCTAAATGAACTGTTGTAAGTCGAGAACTACTTGTACAATATAAAGCTTGTGGGTTTAGATATTACTCGGCAGAAATGCCAGGGTTTTCATCATGCTATATATGATATTTATGGATGGTATCTCTTGGGCCTTGAAGCGTCAGGAAGGATACTCACTGTAGTAGATCATGGAAGTTCAGCCAACCTTCCCTTTTGCTGCTCTTAGAAACCAGGATCCGAGTTTTCAGCCAGCTGCATTCAGCCCCCACGGCATCTACTAAGGGTGCAATAGCCTCATTGGCAACAACGCAGCTGACTTTGGATTGCTGGAGTCTGTATAATATGTCTGGAGCAGTCAAGAGAATAGTAGCTGGAATGAAGACAACACCTGCCAAAGCAGAACAAAGGACTGTGAGAAAAAAGGAAGAGAGAGAAAACGGTCTGCATTTCTCAAGTTTACTACATCGACCCGATAGGAAATAACAATCAGATGAGCCAATTCTACTTTCAGGGGTCCTTGGCACTCTCTGAGCTTGGTGCTTTTCTTTACCTAGTTTGGTAATGAAAGGTCTGCAAGAAAGCCACCGAGTTCAGAGAGCACCAAGGACCCCTCATTTCAACCCTGAGCTGTAAATATTCTCCTTTTGTTCTACTTTGTTGTAAAGCTACGTTAACACAATCTTGTAAATTTCCCCTTGCCTCCTTCAAAGCCTGAGAAACATAGGGTGGGCCTCTTCTGAGCCTTTTGCTCCTCCATTGTGCAGCTTCAGGCTATTAGCTGACCATGCCCTAGGCCTGGGGTAGGCAACCTTGGCTCTTTTATGACTTGTGGACTTCAACTCCCAGAATTCCTGAGCCAGCCACGCTGAGGGGAAAGGGAGAGGTTTCCAAGCTGAGCCATGCTGGCTCAGGAATTCTGGGAGTTGAAGTCCACGAGTCATAAAAGAGCCATGGTTGCCTACCCCTGCCCTAGGCAGCCTCTCTTTGCCCCATCTCCCAAGGTCTTCTCCATATACTATTACAAGATCTTTGGTGCATGAACACTCTTTGGACTGACCTGTTCGGATGCAGGCCAAGCTGATCAGCCACCACTCGGGGACCCTTGGAAGTATAATGAGGAGCCGATCTTCCTTGCGTAGGTTACAGGCCTCCGAGAGCACGTTGGCAGCTTTCCTAGATAAGTAGCTCATCTCCTCAAAGGTCCATTGTACCTCTTCACCATTCCCTTTAACCCACCAGAGGGCTGGATTAGAAGGCTTCTTCCCCTCCTGGCGGACAATTTAGAAGAAATGATATCAATAAAGGGGAATATTTGTGGCTCGGGATTGACATGAGGGGTCCTTGGTGCTCTCTGAGCTTGCTTGTTTTCTTGCAGACGTTTCATGAGCCTAACTAGGTAACAGCATCAGTGTTAGAAGGGAGTTGGGATTGCGGGGAGGAGGAGGGGGAGGGGGAGGGGGAGGAGGACAATGATTCTGGGATCCTTGGTGCTCTTGACAAGGAAAGTCAATGGGGGAAGCCAGATTCGCTTAACGACTGCATGATTCACTTAACAACTATGGCAAGGAAAGTTGCAAAATCTAGCACAACTAACTTAACAACTGCCTTGTGTAGCAATGGAAATTCTAGCCCAGGTGTCTTCAAACTTGGCAACTTTAAGACTTGTGGACTTCAACTCCCAGAATTCCTCAGCCAGCCAGGGCTGTAGTCCCTTGCGAATGGTAATCACGTGACCCCGGGATGCTACCACTGTTGTAAATACATGCAAATCTTGATCATGTAACCCTAGGGATGCTACAACATTGCCAGTGCAAGAAACCGTTGTAAATCCCACTGTGATTTCAAACGGTTGCTAAATAAATGGTTGTAAGCCAAAGTCTACCTGTATGATGATTAAATTAACAGCCTGAATTAACCAAGATGAATTGCCAGAGTCACCTGTCAAGCGGATTTCTTTCTCTATATACCACCAGAGAATTAATGGAAATTCTAGGGAAATTCTCAAGAAATGTCATGCTATCTTAAGATAAGATAACCTTTAGATAAGATAACCTTTATTGTCATTTTTTTTTTTACTGTGGGCGCAATGGCACACATCAAAAATGAAATTTAGTTGCCCGCTCTCAAAGTAAAACACATACATGACACACACCTTTTCTCGTTGACTCCATTTATCAAGAACATCACTTGCAAAATTAAAATATTCTGGCACGTCTCTATCTTGAGGCTCAGTATCTGGGGTAGCCAGAGATGAAAACCCATGAGGGGTCTGAGTGTTGAACCTACACGGGAACGTAGGAACACGGGCAGACTGGAACCCAGAAAGTCTGGAGCGAAACTTCATAGCACCAGCCATGGGTAATGTCTCCGTCTAGGTAAAATAAAAAGGGAGTAAGTTGAGGGAGCTAGCTGTGATGAGGGATAAAGAAGGAAGCCAACGAGTTTGTAGGCTCCATGCTGCCTAATGGGCAAGCAAAATTTTATTTTTATAGCCTTCGGTCCTAGGCTACAATAGTAGAGATGACCTTGATAGACCTTGGTAGATCTTCATAACCGTGAAGATACTTTAATAAAGTTGGAAGGGACTTGGAGGTCATCTAGTCCAACCCCCTGCTCAGGCAGGAAACCCTATACCATTCCAGACAAATGGCTGTCCAGTCTCTTCTTAAAAACTTCCAGTGTTGGAGCATTCCCCGTTTCTGGAGGCAGGTTGTTCCACTGGTTAATTGTTCTAACTGTCAGGAAGTTTCTCCTTAGTTCTAGGTTGCTTCTCTCCTTGATTAGTTTTCATCCGTTGCTTCTTGTTCTGCCTTCAGGCGCTTTGGAGAATAGCTTGACTTCCTCTTCTTTGGGGCAGTCCCTGAGAGATTGGAAGACTACTATCATGTCCCCCCTCATCCTTCTCTTCATTAAACTAGACATCCCCAATTCCAGCAGCCGTTCCTTATATGCTTTAGCCTCCAGTCCCCTAATCATCTTTGTTGCTTTTCTTTGTGCTCTTTCTAGATTCTCAACATCTTTTTTACATCGTGGTGACCAAAACTGGATGCAGTATTCCAAGTGTGGCCTTACCAAGGCATTGTACTGAAAAATGTTGGGATGTGTCTACATCTACACTTGAGAGAAGTGGAAGGAAAAAGAAGACAAGGATAACCAACAGTAGGGTGAATGGATTCAGATATAATGGTGATGAGTTTATCGTTGAAAGAACAGATTAGGAGATCATGATGGGAAACAACCTATCTAGATGGCTGCTAAGAATCAACAATTAGTGGCACGTAGTCAATCAATCCAAAAATTAATATGAGAGGTCCTTCTCTAGAGAAATAATTTTTTAAAGCATAGTTTAACTTATATCTGCTGGCATGTAGCAACAATTATGCATTAAATCTCAAAATACTTGGGAAACGTAGCCATTAAACCCACAATTTCTGTCTTCTACCTTGTGATCATCTTCAACAAGATATATGTTCTATGTATATTTGGATGGATTATTTCATATTTTCACCCTTAGACACATGCATCTAGGCCAAATCACATTAATCTCTCTCAGATGCTGACTTTAAAAAAAACCAACCTTCTCAATCTGGAGTTTGCAAATATTTTCAGACTATATGAATTTTAAAAAAAGAATATATACCTGTGCAGATGATTTAAAGGCCTCCTCATTAGAAAGTGAGTTCCCCAAAAGAAATGCACCTGAAAAAATTGGATGTTTTAATACTTAAGAGATAAATTATTGTTGAAGTTAATGTTTAACTTTGAATCAGAACATCATGTTGTGCAGGTTAAAGGTGGTTACATTTTCCCGAACTATTTTGTAATTAAATGTTAATCTTAGACTATGTCACTCATGTGAAAAATTTCTTTTCCTTTCTGCAGGCTGTGTCAATCAAAAGATGTCAAGATTTTTATTCTCCGCCTCCTCAATCTTCCTACCAACATCTCCAAAAGCGTGTTTTAATATTTGAAGTGATGGGATGGACAGAGCATTTTTTCCATCCAACCCCACAAAAATAAATATTTTAAAACAAAGATGATTAGGGGACTGGAGGCTAAAGCATATAAGGAACGGTTGCTGGAATTGGGTATGTCTAGTCTAATGAAGAGAAGGACGAGGGGGGACAGGATAGCAGTGTTCCAGTATCTCAGGGGCTGCCCCAAAGAAGAGGGAGTCAAGCTATTCTCCAAAGCGCCTGAAGGCAGGACAAGAAGCAACGGATGGAAACTGATCAAGGAGAGAAGCATCCTAGAACTAAGGAGAAACTTCCTGACAGTGAGAACAATTAGCCAGTGGAACAACCTGCCTCCAGAAGCGGTGAATGCTCCAACACTGGAAGTTTTTAAGAAGAGACTGGACAGCCATTTGTCTGACATGGTATATATTTCCTGCCTGAGCAGGGGGTTGGACCAGATGACCTCCAAGATCCCTTCCAACTTTATTAATTATTATTATTATTATTATTATTATTATTATTACTATTATTATTATTATTATTATTATTATTATAAAATGATAATTAAAAAAATCATATGAACTTTGGCAAGATAGGAAGAGTATTGATCCCACTGAACTTTGGAGAAGTTGAAAAAGACCACAGACAATCCCCCATTTACGACCACAGTTGGACCCAAAATTTCTGTTGCTACGTGAAACATTTGTTAAATGAATTTTGCCCCATTTTACGAATTTTCTTGCCGCAGTTGTTAAATGAATCACTGCAGTTATTACATTAACTAAATCTGGCTTCCCCATTGACTGCTTGTAAGATGGTCGCAAAAGGGGATCACACGATCCTGGGACACTGCAACCGTCAAAAATACGAGTCAGTTGCCAAGCATTCGAATTTTGGTCACATGCTGAAAGGGTCGTAAGTGTGAAAAATGGTTGTAGGTTACTTTTTCGGTGCCGTTGTAACTTTGAACGGTCAGTAAATGATCTGTTTTAAGTCGAGGACTACCTGTATTCACTCACTACTTACATCTCTCGTTTAGGTGGAGGCTTAGCCGTCATCGGAAAGTTAAATTGCTTGTTCACCATTTGAGTTGAGCTTTATTGCAGTTGTAGACCGTTATCAAGCAATGAAGACGCCTCAAAAAAAAAAGAGGACACATCATTCGGGATATCTCCTATTCGTGATGGTGGCGTACAAATTGTGATAAACCTTAACTGAAATTGACTCGGGATGTAGTAGAAAGAAACTAGGATCAAATCAGCGTCCCCTTGCTTTTCCTGACATGTTTTTCAAGCGGGAAACTTTGCATCTCATGAATATTCCAGGCTTAGCGTCGTATTAGCTTGATGAACACCTTATATGAGTCACCAGCCTCTTGCCCCCCCCCCCGATTGATCACGCTGCGGAACGAGAAATCAGACGGTCTTAAACAGTGCCGGAGTTGATTACTTACCTTTCAAACAAGCTCTAGGCCAGTGGTTCTCAACCTGTGGGTCGGGACCCCATTTGGGGTCGATCGACCATTTCATGGGGGTCGCCAAGCAAGGCTGTCCGGCATTTTTTTTGTCCGCCATTTTTTTTGTCTGCCATTTTCCCCCCTTTTCCAGCGGGTGCCTTACCTCCCTTGGGCTGGGCCAGCTGGTGGTCGGCCTGCTCCGTCTCTGCCGCTTGGCAGCTACGCCTCGGCCGGCGCAGGGGGCGGAACCACGCATGCGCGGCGCTCCCGGGCAGGGAAAGTCCTTGACTTACGACCGGTTGGGTAGTCCTCGACTTACGACTGGTTTAGTCCTCGACTTATGACCGGTTGGGGTCGCGGCATTAAAAAGGTTGAGAACCACTGATCTAGGCCAATTCTGAGAGAAGAGGGTCCCTTTAAACTCGTTCACTCCAGACCCCATAAAATTTATATAACCGAAGAGTCATGCAAGGAGCAAAAAGGAAGTGGAAACGGGATCTCCATATTGCAATTCTGTGTTGCAATTCTTGCCCTTTGGTTTTCGTCGAACCATTCATTCCATTGTACAAACCGTATTGGTTAAATAATAGCTCCTAAACTCAATTAATTTAGGACCAAGATAGGATGGGCACCTTCTTTGGAAAGCTGGAATGGGGCCAGAAAAAAATGTGAAGAAATGCAGTGAATGCAGTGAATGCTTTAAATCAGGGTGGACAATCTTGGTTTTCTCCTCTCTATGGTTGAATGCCCTAGGGCAGGGGTAGGCAACCTTGGCTCTTTTATGACTGGTGGACTTCAACTCCCAGAATTCCTGAGCCAGCCATGCTGAGGGAAAAGAGAGAGGTTTCCAAGTTGAGCCATGCTGGCTCAGGAATTCTGGGAGTTGAAGTCCACGAATCATAAAAGAGCCAAGGTTGTCTACCCCTGGCCTATAAGAATGCGGCTGTTTTGTTTAGTGACCACGATACAACTTGTATTGTTGTACTATATTCATTTAGTCCTCCCAAACTCCATGAAAAAAATTATAATTAGTGGAGGTCCTCAACTTACAACATTCCGCTTAGCGATTCTTCAAAGTTACAACAGCATTGAAATTTTTTCCCCACACTTATAACCGTTGTAGCATCCCCAGGGTCATGTGATCAAAATTGAGACGCTTCACAACTAACTCGTACTTATGACAGCTGCAGTGCCTCAGAGTGAGGTGATCAACTTTTGCAAGCTTCTGGCAAGTCAAGTCAAGTCAATGGGGAAGCCAGATTCACTTAGCATCTGCGACAAGAAAGATTGTTGAATGGGGCAAAACTCACGTTAACAACGGTTCCGCTTAGCTACGGAAATTTGGGGCGCCATTGTCGTAAGTCGAGAACCACCGATAGCGGCAAAGTTTGGAACGATCCTCAAGGAGAGATTTAGCTAGAAAGGCATGCAGTTAGTTACCTATGGCTGCTAGACTGGAATGCAGAATTAGATAGCAACTGTTTTGGCTGCAAATTAATCTGTAGACTTGCTTGTTGAGTTAATCGCTTTGTCAGACTGCGAACTGTCTGGAAAGGGGCTTTAAAGAGCACCGCTGATGGCACTGAATCTTATTTTATTTAATTCTATTTTTCTCTCAGCTGTGGCAGACACTCAGCTGACCAGCATAACCCAGGGCCTAACCTGGTTAGCAGATCTAGCATAGGGAGGGTTGATTTTGCTGAGTTTACCTTTTTCAATCCTTCGCATTATAACCTTTGTTAATACTTAATCACCTGAGTCAGCATTTCATTTGAACCCATCATCTCCGTCTATGAACCCGTCTGTAGCATGATTATTAACCCTGTCTTGTCCACGTGTGGGGCAGGTGGTGTCCAACCATCACCCCCAACGGTTTAATCATTTGTGATGCGAGTATTAATGTGTAGGTCTGGTATGACTCCCAATCAGTTGACCTCTTTTGTAAAAAGGCAGCACGGTTAGCCACAGAATAGAAAGAGTCAGTTCAGGTATGAAAAATGGAAGTTTGTGAATCAGGATATAAACATCTTGGTGGTTTCAGAGCATAAAAAAACGAGTTCTGTTAGTTATGCTTCCTGCTAACTAACTTTCAGGGTTAATCGGAAGGAATTTGGTAGCACCTTTTCAGGAGCTCCAGCTTAGGTTTTGGAATAAGCTTTGTTAGCTTAGTTTGTTAGTGTGCTAGTGCTACCAGACCCCTACTTTTTAGCTAACATGGACTAACAAGGTTGTTGTCCTCTTACAATGTCATGGTTAACCTAATTCCGACTAACTTTGAATGACAGTCAATGGGAATGCCACAGCTGCAAAGTGAAGATAGCCCAGATGCCTACAGGGTCAACATTCTTACAATGAGATAATTTTCTATTCATGTAGTTGTCTGGTTGGGCTGTATTCCTTCTTGAAACAATGTACTATCAGACACATTGGGGGAAATAGATCTTGAAGTGGGAGAAATGTTGATATGTTTAGCTTTGTCTCCTTTCTTTTCTCTAGGACCTCAAAGTAACTTACATAGGGATCTGTGGTGTATCTCAACAATAACCAGCATCTCGCGAGAGTCTCAAGGCTGAGAAAGAGGAACCCAGAGAATCACTGAGGGTGATTTGAACCTTGTTTTCCCCAGTCAGAAAGTCCAGGATCTTAACCATCCCACCCCATTCCACTTGTCCTCTAGATTTCTCTTTCATTTTGACATCAACAACATCTTCTTACTACATGGTTTTGAGGAAGATCGCTTTTAATGTATGGCATCTATAGGTTTCAGTGGGAACACTCAAAACTGAGCCAAAAAACCAGGTCATTTCAAGAGTAACAGGGTTTTGGATCACATCTGTGCCAGAAAACTGTGGAGATAAAGCAAGCTTTCTATAGATTTAAACTCGGACCCATTCTTGGTCTCTTAATTCATTCCGTCGGATCTTCCCTGTCACGGATTTTGGTAGCTGCTGGACAAATTCCACCTATTAAAGACAGAAAAGTGCAAAACAAAGGCCATGTAGATCTTGATGAGATTGTCTTTGCAATCTTGATTACTCATCAATAATGAATACGTTGGAATCCATTTTTTTCATTTCAGTGCCTCTCTTAAATCAGCTGGAACATCAACGCTGAAATTTCGATTGCTAAAAGAAGGGGATCCTAATCTTCCAGTAGAGAACGCAATGGCCAACATTTCCTATTGTGAAGACCTGGACAGCCTCATTTCTTTTTGGAAGCAGTCATCAAACCAGGAAAGATTTCAGATGACTAGGTTTTCCAAGAAGGGACACCATTTTGTCATTGGATTTTGAAAAGATCACTAGTAGAGAATTGTTTAAGGAGAGACAACTCTTGATCTTTTATTCATGGTCATTCATAATGCCAATTATAAATGAATGGACATGTATAATGTCAATATGTATTGACATCATGATTGAGGGAACTAGGGTTGTCTTGTCCAACAAAGAAAAGAAGTAGGGGGTGACAGGACACCAGCTTCCAGTACTTGAGGGGATTGATTTATTTTCCAAAGTGCTAAAGATCAGGACAAGAGGTCATGGATAGAAGATCATTAAAGAGAGATTCAATCTAGAACTAAGGAGAACATTCCTGAAAGTGAGAACAATTAATCAGTGGAATAACTTACCTCTGGAAGTTATGAGTGCTCCATCACTGGAGCTTTTCAAGAAGAGATTGGACAATCATTTGTCTGGAATTTTATAGGGTCTCCTGTTCAAGCAGGAGATTGGACTAGAAGACCTCCAGTTTCCTTTCTAACCCTATTTTTCTACTATTCTATTTTCAATTCTGTGTCATTGGGAGCTACAAGGATTCTCAGATTCATATTCATATCTTCAGGTGTCTTTCAACACATTTCCAATATAGGAATAAATATTTACCTTTCTTGGGTATTTGTATGGAGCAGTCATTTTTTTGACATGTTCCTGAAGTTCCATGGTTAATTTCTCCTTGCTGTGTTTTGAGTAGCCCGTAGACAACACCACAAATGCCTTTACCACCTAAAACGCAGAGACGGAACATGCCCAAGTACCTCAAAACAAGGACTTATTGTTTTGAATGTTTCCTGTCTCTCCTGAAACTTTCTCAAATTCTCAGAAACTAAATTCCAGAGTGCACTTTATATAAGGAATAATAACATAACATAACATAACATAACATAACATAACATAACATAACATAACATAACATAACATAACATAACATAACATAACATAACAACATACGAAGACAAGGTCATTGTAGGCTTTGACTTCTATTTAGGCCATCTTTCTTCCCAAGGTGAAAGGTTTTTATTTCAGAGCAATCTTACACAGTGGTGGAATTCAAATATGTGAACAACCGGTTCTCTGCGTGGATGCCACTTCTGGAAGTCCATTCTGGGCTTGCCGAACTGGTGCAAACTGGCTGAATCCCACCACTGTATCTATCTATCTATCTATCTATCTATCTATCTATCTATCTATCTATCTATCTATCTATCTATCTATCATCTATCTATCTATCTATCTATCTATCTATCTATCTATCTATCTATCTATCTATCATCTATCTATCTATCTATCTATCTATCTATCTATCCATCCATCCATCCATCCATCCATCCATCCATCCATCCATCCATCCATCCATCCATCCAGTGGTGGGATTCAAATATGTGAACAACCGGTTCTCTGCGTGGATGCCACTTCCGGAAGTCCATTCTGGGCCTGGGCAACCAAAAATTAGCTACCGGTTCTGCCAAACTGGTGCAAACCGGCTGGTGTAGAGATTATTGCTTGGGTGGGGTCTTCTTACCTCTCCTCTGACTGGATCTGGACTACTGACCACCGCAACTTCTGCTACCGCTGGGTGTTTCAAGAGCACACTTTCTACTTCAAATGGTCCGATACGATACCTGGAAAAAAGGGATCCCAATCAATCAAAACTAGGGAAATTTATACATTTATAAACCAGGAAGCAAATGGTTCTAACATCTACTGTGGATGGGCCATTTTGGGGAACATAAAGCGCGTAGTGGCTCTTCTTAGGCATGTGTTATGACGGAATACCTAGTTGGGTCATGTTAATGTTCGGACATCTTAATGTCCATTAACAGCTGAAGGTTAGTTTTGACCCGGGGTTTAAAGGTAACGATTCACTCCGTTCACTCAAAACGGGGTAAAATGATAGTCAACGATTCACTTAATGACCTAAACGAGTGACTTAGTCCGAAGGGGGGGGGGCTTGATTTTGCCTGTCGGAAGCCAGATGGGAAGGGTTACAAATGGGGATCACATGACCTCAGGACACTGCAACCATCATACATGCATGCCAGTTGCCCAGTGCCCAATTTTTTATCACGTGAACATGGAGATATTGCATTGGTCGTAAGTGTGAAACATGGTCATAAGTCACTTTTTCAGTGCCATTGTAAATTCGAACGGTAACTAAGCAAATGGCTGTAAGTCCAAGAACTATCCCTATTTCCTATCCTGCTGAGAAAGTTGTTGTGCTTTCTTCTCACAAGCTCAGATTATTGGGGCAGAAGACCACGGGTGTGGGCTAATGACCCACAAATCTATCCCAACTTTTCGTCTCAATTCAGATCACCCGTTCAAGTTCTAACCCAGGGTCTGATCTCAGTGGAAACCCCAAAGGAAAGTACAGATGGAAGGAAAATATGGGTAGACCTCACCGGTTGACCTTGGCATCAAAGGGGACCCAGGTTCAGCTCTCTCTCTTTTTTTAAAGAGAGCTTTGATTTGTAAGTGACATTTTGATGTTTGCCTAAGTGCTCAATGTTTGCAAAATTGGAAGGTTCTCTCAACTCTGGAGGGCTATAAACAACCCGCAGGAAGGCAACTGACCCAGATGATTTGATGATATCGTCAGCTCGTCCTATAAACCGAAAGTAGCCATCTTCATCCATCACTCCTCTGTCTCCAGTGCAGAAAAAGTCCCCGTGTTCTGTGGCAGCTGTTTTTTGTGGCGCATTCTGATGAGAACATTTCAGAAGGACACAATCAGCCATATAACTACCACTTCAATGGAAGTCTGTAGGGAGAATTTCATTGGCCACTGTGATGGGTCAGTAAAGATGTATTCTCCCATACAAAGAAAAGGACACAATCTAATTTAGTCTCTAGACCAGGGGTAGTCAACTTTGGCTCTTTTATGACTCGTGGACTTCAACTCCCAGAATTCCTGGCTCAGGAATTCTGGGAATTGAAGTCCACGAGTCATAAAAGAGCCAAGGTTGACTACCCCTGCTCTAGACAAGGGCGTCCAACCGTGGCAACTTTAAGACGTGTGGACTTCAACTCCCAGAATTCCTCAGTCAGCTCTTGTAGACCAGGAGTATCCACCCTTGGCAACTTTAAGACTTGTGGACTTCAACTCCCAGAATTCCTCAGTCAGCTCTTGTAGACCAGGAGTATCCACCCTTGGCAACTTTAAGACCTGTGGACTTCAACTCCCAGAATTCCCCAGCCAGTCCACAGGTGCCAAGATTGGACACCCAGTTTTTAGACATATCTCCCCCCCCCCCAAACGTCCTTCTCTAATTCTTGAGATTTTTGAGACTCATTTTAATTCCTTCTAACACTGTGTAAAAGGATAATTTATTTCGTCAAAGGGCTCGGAATCTCTTAATGACCCTAAATTCCAAGGCTACAAGAGAGTTTACTTACAATGTACTGAGTGAACAAACCAAGGGGTCGTTCGGGTTTTATTCTGATCGCTATTTCACCTTCTTTTCCAGGTGGTAAAATATTTGCTTCTTGGTCTACAATCTAGAAAAGAAATAAACGACTCAACCACTGGCCTTTATCTGGATAGACAAGTAGTCCCTGAGTTACAACCACTAATTTAGTGACGGTTTGAAATTACGACAGCACTGAAAAAAAAGTGACTTATGGATGCTTGGAAACTGGCATGTATTTGCCAGTTTGGGCTCAATCGTGGTCATAGGTCAAGGATTTCCTGTAATCTATTTTGATAACTTGAATGCATTTAATTTGAAAATTAATACGAAGGAGAAGATTGAAAATACCAACCTGGACATCGTAAGGAGAAAGAGCTTTTCCAATGGTGCCAGGCTTAATTTTCATTCCTTCGGGAACTGAACAAATTGATCCCTATATGAAAGAAAATTACTTTATTCAGAAATAAACGCACATATACGTACACCCAAACACACACAGCCTCCTCATTTTTTTCCATGGTTTTAGAAACACATATACGGTAGTTTGGCCCACCCATATTCACAGAGAAATCTATTTCAATAGGCTTACCCACAAAGACATATGTACAGGACTGTAATTTCACCTCCATTATGCTTCTTCTTGACAGTTATTTTGGGTTATCAATAAATTATTATAGATCAGTTAGAACTGGATGCCTCATCAGCTTGTCTATTTTTTTCCTCAGTAGTGTCTATAGTTTAGTGCCCCCAAACGTAAAATATTTGCTCAGTAGGAAACATTTGAAATATTAGAAGCCAACATCTACCAAACTATGTCAATTATAATTTTTTTCTTTATTCTTCTTCTAAAGGTAAAACAATATTCCATCCTCTGGAGCAGTATTTCTCAAACTCAGCAATGTTAAAATCAATGGATTTCAATTCCCAGAATTCCCCAGCCATCCGTGGGGAAATCTGGGAGTTGAAGTCCACACACCTTAAAAGTTGTTGAGGTTGAAGAACAGTGCTCTAGACGTATCTGGGAGTCTTGCAACATTTTAAAATAATTGTGGGAAAGTCACTATGAATTAAATAGAACTTACGGTTTCTGTCTGTCCATATAATTCATAGATGTCCAGTCCTGTCTTGTTCTTCCATTGTTCCATCACTTCAAGGCTTATTGGTTCTCCTCCACTTATACAGTATTGGAGGCTCTTGAACTTGTAACTTAATGAGAGTGTACATAAGATTTTTAAGAAGGTGGACATTAATATCCTGGGGCAGGTTATAAACAAAGCATCAAGAGAATTCTGCTAGAAGTATTATTGAGAGTGAGGAACTGTTAACTGTAGAAGAATAAGCAGAAGAAGGGGGGGTGGAGTTAAAGGTGTTATCAGCTTAGAATCATTGCGTTCTACAAATGATCCAAGGTTAACTTCTAAATTCCATTGATCTTTTTCTGGCACCAATTTAGTGTTGAACTTTAGTTGACTAGATTCTTAAATATAAGCCTTGAACAAATCTTCCATGGTGCAACTAACGGATGGTCCTGATTCTTGGTCACTGAGATTAACAAGGTTAAGGAGGAGACTTCTGTATCAATGGGAGCTTCAATATAGAACCTTCACATCTCCTTACTGGGCTTCTCTTGAGTTCACTTTGGACATTAAACCAAACTCGGTTGGTGTTAAATCATTAAACCAGGGGTAGTCAACCTTGGCTCTTTTATGACTCGTGGACTTCAACTCCCAGAATTCCTGAGCCAACTAAGCTGGCTCAGGAATTCTGGGAATTGACGTCCACGAGTCATAAAAGAGCCAAGGTTGACTACCCCTGCATTAAACCATTACTGTTTATTACATAAATCACAATTGAGTTTCCACCTCATGCTCTACTAGAAGACATGGTTTATAAGCAATTACAGCGGAGTTTGTAAAACACACTGAGCCAAAACCAAGAAAACCAACCTGCAGCTGAACACAAAGTATAACCTAGATCAAGGGTGTCCAACCTTGGCAACTTTAAGTCTTGTGGACTTCAGCTCCAAGAATTCCCTTGGTTGGCTGGGGAATTCTGGGAGTTGAAGTCCACAGGTCTGAAAGTTGCCAAAGTTGGACACCCCTGACCTACGTTTTACCTTTTTTGAGACCCTCAGGAGCAGGCTAGAATGATAAACTTCAAAACGGGTTCTGAAAGGAGGGCACATCCTTAACAAAAAACACATACCTGGTGAAATCTTCCCCAAAAAACATGCGAAAGAAGGTAGGAGGACTCACAAAAGCGGTGATTGGAAATTGGGACAAAGTCTAAAAAGAACACACGTGCATAATAAGAAGCCAAGCAAAGGCTGCGCACGAATTACACACTGAACTAATCCAAGGGTTGGTAAATTCAGCGTTAGGCTAATTGTGTTGAGTTCTAACACAAATGAGCTGATACAGACAAATAATTGGACACAAAGGTGGGGTTCAAGATTCTTCACCTACTCATACTGGAAGATGTATCTGCACACCTTCTAGGCTGGAGAATAATCCTTGTGAGGGTCGCTTGTCTCCTGGGACATGCAGGTTTCGTGGGTTGCTATTATTTAACAATATAAAATGTTGCGATTTTATAAAGGTGAGAAATTTATACTTTTATAAATTTTGCACGGTTGCAATTTTATAATCTTCTAAAATTTTAATTTTGAATTTCGACTCTAATAGTTTCACGCGACTCTTTTATATTTTGATACTGTACTGCGCACCACCCAGAGTCCCTCTTTGAAGGAGATGGGTGGTCCGGAAATGCAAAATGTAAACAAATAAATTTATCGCTAGGTATACGGTATCAAGCAACTCATCAAGAATTGAGTTAGATTAGATCTTGATAAACGGTCTTCAAAATCTTGGTTGTGAGACATTTAGGATTGTTAAGTGAAGTAGGTGGCCATATAGGTTCTGTCAATGAATAAAGAAGCATGAGCGTCAAGAAATGTCAACTTACCTTTAGGATGGTCGTTTTCTCTAACATTGGTAGGTTATGGATGAAGACGCAGGATCCCAAAACCCATGGATCAAAAAATGAACCCAGGGCAGCCACCACCCAGCTTGTATCTGCTGTGCCCCATACAATGTCTGAAGGGGTTGTATACAACCAAGATCTGGTAAAACAAAGAAAACCATATTGTGAGGAGCAATTTGATGGGCCCACAAAGCCAACCACTGAATGGAAATTGATGGAATGGAAGCGACTGATGAAATTGATGGAATGGAATTGACCTCTTATCGTTTGGCATTAAAGCCAACTAAATAGTTGACAGACATTCAATGTGATGAGTTTGACTCAATGATGGACAAGGATATGGCTGGTTGGCATCTTAGCTACTTGCATGTTAAGTTTTTTTTTCATGCGTTATGCTTTTTCTCTAGAAGGACTTCTGAAGAACAATGTTAGCTTAATCATCACAATAACCATGTATACTAGGTTAGGCTGAAGGTTAGTGAGCAGCCCATGTTTGCTCATTAGATTTCATTCCTTTGGGCTTGTGGGTGCTCCATCACAGGAGGTTTTCAAAAATAGACTGCTCAACCATTTGACTGGAATGGTATAGGTCTCCTGCTTGAGCAGGGGGTTGGACTAGAGGACCTCCAAAACCCCTTCCAGCCTACGATTCTATGATATTCTTATATCTAAAATTTTTCCACTTGTTTCTTAAGCAGCCATGTTTAAAATCAGTTAACACACAGCCTCTGAACATAACAGTACTACTTAATTATAAAGACTACACTGATCATATATTTGTCTATTAAAATTAATATGCAATATATCTAACAATGAATTCACTCTTATGAATTTTCACTGAGATTTTGAGGGAGTTTCTTTCAGACCTTTGACTAATGATGGGTCTGAACCCCAGACTTCCTTGCGTGTGTTCAACCATCTTGGGAGCCCCTGTGGTTCCACTGGTGAAATAAACCAACATGGGATCATTCATCCTGGTTTTCGCACAAGTGTGGCTGGCAGGTGCCTCTCTGTATAATAAAGAACATCCCAGCAATTGAAAACGTTAGAAACACAGGCTATTGAAGCAGTCACAGTCAACCCCCGTATGATATTATTATTGCTGATTAGCAGATCACAATATTTATTCCTCTATCCTTCTGTTTATATTCTGGCTTGAAGAAACTTTGTTTTTAAACACATTCACACTTTTAATGAGGTTTTACTGATCCTTATTTAAAATTGCCGTGGAACGAATTTTGAACTCTCTTCAGGAAAAACGGGGGGGGGGTTCCAGTTTTGGATTCTTCCTCCCATTTTCAGTATATTTCTTGTTTGAGAATATTGCTCTTGATATACAACCTGGACTTACGACTGTTTGTTTAGCCATGAGTTTGGACACTTGGCAACTGACTTGTATTTATGACTGTTGAGGTGTCCCAGGGTCACGTGATCACCTTTTGCGACTTTCCGACAAGCAGAATCAAAGGGGGAAACCAGATCTGCTTAATGACCCCTCTATCCACTTGGTCTTAATTCAAGGACTATCTGCCCTCCAGTGTAAATCTAGACCAGGGGTAGGCAACCTTGGCTCTTTTATGACTCGTGGACTTCAACTCCTAGAATTCCTGAGCCAGCATGGCTCAGCTTGGAAACCTCTCCCTTTCCCCTCAGCGTGGCTGGCTCAGGAATTCTGGGAGTTGAAGTCCACCAGTCATGAAGGGGCCATAGTTCCCCCATGCTGGCTCAGGAATTCTGGGAGTTGAAGTCCACGAGTCATGAAGGGGCTATAGTTTCCCCATGCTAGCTCAGGAATTCTGGGAGTTGAAGTCCACGAGTCATGAAAGAGCCAAGGTTGCCTACCCCTGGTCTAGACTGACCTCAAAATCAGCATCTTGAATCAAACTCGGGGGGAGGGAAAATAATTTAGTCAGTCAGGTTAAAACCAAATTGTTTGTTTCAGGTTCCACCATGGGAAGATCACCCTGGGAGAAACGATTATAGCTCATAAATTCACGCTGGTGCATCCTGAGAAATGAACTATCCGAGAAGCTCACCTGAGCAGTTCATCAAAGTTCAGCCAACCTTCTCGCCTGCCTTCAGAAGACACCAGCAGCTTGGTTTTCAGGGAGGGGCACTGTGGGGCAACGGAATCCACTACAGATCCTAAGGCCTCCGTAGTGATGAGGCATTTGGCCCCCGAAGCTTGGAGTCGGTACTCAATGTCCTTAGCAGTTAGTTGCGATGTTGCGGGGATGGCCACAATTCCTGCAAGGTTGATAATAGGTCAGTAATAGTCCTTGATTGATGGTCACAATCCGAGGCCCAAAACCTCTGTTGCTAAGCAAGGCAGTTGTTAAATGAGTTGCGCCCCGTTTTATGACATTTTTCCCCAGGGTGATTGAGTGAATCATGCGGGCATTAAGCGAATCCTCCGTTGACTTTGCTTGTCAGAAGACAGCTTGGGAAGGTTGCAAATGGTGATCCAAGGTCCTTGGGACACCGCAATTATCACAAACACATGCCGGTTGCTCAGCCCCTGAGTTTTGATCCCCTGACCAGGGGATGCTGCAATAGTCCTAAGTATGAAAACCAGTCCTAAGTTACTATTTTCAGGGGGTTTGTAACTCTGAACAGTCGCTAAACAGATGGCTGTAAGTCGAGGACTGCATTTATTGTTTGGTTCTCTTTTCCTAGTCAGGAAAGCGCCTCTGTTTGTTTTAGAAGTTCTACATTTTTTTGTTTGGTAAGTTCTCTTGAAGGGAGGAAACCTGGCCAGATCAAGATCTGATCAAGATCTGAAAGCTGCTTTCAAGAGTTAGCTTGGTCACAGTTCTCTACTTTTTCTATCCTAGTCTGTTGATTGTAATGGATTGGATTGTGATAGATGGATAGCAGACTCCACCTTCCCCTTTCCTCTCTGCTCTCTACTATCTACAGTATCTTTTTTATTATATTGATATATGCTCTCTCCTTCCTTCCTTCCTTCCTTCCTTCCTTCCTTCCTTCCTTCCTTCCTTCCTTCCTTCCTTCCTTTCTTCTCTTCCCCATCTCCTTCCCTCCCTCCCTCTCTCCTTTCCTTCCTTCCTGCCTCCCTCCCTCCCTCTTTGAATTAGTTTATCAATTTTTACGCTTTCTCTAAAACCTATCCTTTTTCATTGTTTATTTTATTCTTCTGTTTTTATTACTTCTGTTTTGTTTACATGCTTCTCATTTCTTCCTTCTTATTGTTGCAAGCCACCTAGGACAGCCCCAAAGGCAAGACAGGCGGAAAATAAATGAAACAAATAAAATAAATAAAAAATAATGTCATTTTTTTTAAATTGACCTGTTCTGATGCAAGCCATGGTCACCAACCACCATTCCGGAATCCGGGAGAGAATGAGGAGGATTTTGTCGCCTTGGCATAGTCCACATTGGTCAGTGAGGATATTGGCCACTTTCCTGGAGTACATCCCCAGTTCTTCAAAGCTCCACCTGACCTCGCCTCCTTTTCCGTTGATCCACCACAGGGCTGGGTTGGAAGACCTTTTTCCAGCCTACAAAATGAATCCCCGCAAAGGAAGAGGAGGTCAACTTATTCTTCCAAAGTACCAGAAGGCAAGACAAGAAGCAACGGGTGGAAAGTAATCAAAGAGAGAAATAGGGAGAAATTTCCTGACAGTGAGAATAATCAACCAGGGGAACGACCTGCCTCCAGAAGTTGTGGGTGCTCCAACACTGGAGATTTTTAAGAAGAGATGGGACAGCCATTTGTGTGAAATGGTGTAGGGTCTCCTGCTTGAGCAGGGGGTTGGATTACAAGACCTCCAAGGTCCCGTCCAACTCTGTTAATGTTTTATTTTTAAAACAGAGAGAGAAATAGTTCTTGTCTTAAAACTTCATTAAATGTTTCTCTGTGAGCACAGTTTGATGGACAAAAACTTGTTTTGCAGTTGACTTTGGTCTGCTACTTTATAATAATAATAATAGTAAAGTTGGAAGGGANCCCAATTCCAGCAGCCGTTCCTTATATGCTTTAGCCTCCAGTCCCCTAATCATCTTTGTTGCTCTTCTCTGTACTCTTTCTAAAGTCTCAACATCTTTTTTACATCGCAGTGACCAAAACTGGATGCAGTATTCCAAGTGTGGCCTTACCAAGACATTGTAAAGTGGTATTAACACTTCACGTGATCTTGATTCTATCCCTCTGTTAATGCAGCCTAGCACTGTGTTGGCCTTTTTGGCAGCTGCAGCACACTGCTGGCTCATATTTAGGTGATTGTCTTTGGTTCATTCAATGTCCCCTATCCCTTTTCCAAATGGGAATGTGATTCCTGGGGGCTGCTACAGGCAGTCCTTGACTTACGATCACAAATGGGAGCAAATTTCCCATTGCTAAGCAAAACGGTTGTTAAGTAAGTCATGCCCAGTTTTTATGACCATTATGACCTATGATTGTTAAGCAAATCAGGCAGTTAAGTCAATCATGTGGTCATTAAAACGAATCCCGCTTCCCTCATTGTCAGAAGCCAACTGGGAAGATCATAAGTAGTGATCCCATCGACTGATTGATTGACTGAGTGATCAAATTTGCTTGCCGCCCATCTTGTATCCAACTACTCTGAATCACATGAACGGGAGGCTGCAATTATAGTAAAATACATGTAAAATGACTTAACAGTCCTCGCATTTAAGAAGGATCACAGCATCCCCATGTTCCTGGGATCAAAATTCCAGTGCTTGGTTGCCAAGCGCCCAAATTTTGACCACATGAACATGGGGATGCCGGGATGGTCGCTATTGCGAGGACCGGTTGCAAGTCATTTTATTCAGTGCTGTGGTAACTTCAAACAGTCGCCAAATGAAAGTTGAGGACCACTTGCAGTTGATCCCAGCTAACTGGAAAAATCACACAGGTAGGGTAGCAAGGTCACCCTAGATTAATAGGATAGAGTGACGTGTCTGTGTCAAAAAGTCCATTCTGAGCGATGGCAAGACTTTAGAAATAAAGAAAGACCTTACTCAAATAGAAAAAAAAAATTACCTTTTCTACTTGGGTCCAGTTATCCAGCACGTCACTTGCAAAGTTGAAATACTCTGGTAATTGGCCCTGTCCCTGGCTTACAGCTTCGTACTGTGCAGATATAGGATTGCTGATGAATCTGGAATATCTCGGAAATAATCTAGGGATCGTTTTCCATATCGCGTAGAAAGAAAGTGAAGTCTTCATGGCTGGGGAAAAAAAATTCAAGTGGTGTTAGCAAACATTAGCCCCTGCAGACTGTTAATCTACAAGATGAGAGAGATTAAAAAGGACAAAATAAGGAAAGAAAGAAAGAAAGAAAGAAAGAAAGAAAGAAAGAAAGAAAGAAAGAAAGAAAGAAAGAAAGAAAGAATAAAATCAGCAGGGAAATCAAAGTTCTTTCCAAGTATTTCTTGTTGCAGTTTTTTAATAACCACCCTTTCAGCTAAATGTGTGCACCATTGTAAGAGTTGAAGGAACCACAGCATGAAGGGACGTGTCTGGTAGACGTGTAAAAGAGGCAAAAATAAAACCAGACACAAATACATATGTTCATTCAGAAGATTTGGGAGATTTAAAGTACAACTGAATCCAGAATCTTGTCTTTTGGGACGAACAGGCAGGCAATTAAGAAAAGTTATGGAACTGTGTTTTTGTAGGTGACAACTGCAAGCAAGATTATTTTAGGCTAAAAAATGGGAAGAGTCGAGCTATCCACAATGGAAGAATGGTTGGTGAAGACGATGGAACTTGCAAGGGATGACTAAATGAATAGCATCTACTTTTATGGCTGGCTAGAAACCTCTTATAGACTATGGCATGAAATAGGGAAAAAATGCACCTATGACTTGTGGTTTTGATGATTAGGAAAAATAATGATAATAAAGAAAGTGACCTCATTGAGTAAAAGATAATTTTGCAATCGTATTATATTTGCTGCAAAGAAAATTGGAACTTTTCTTCCTTTCTTCTCTCATCCATTTATTTCTCTCTCTCTCTCCCTCCTTCTTTTCTTCCTTGCTTCCTTCTTTCCTTATTCTCCCTCCCTCTTTGAGTTAATTTATTACTTTTTAATGTTTTCTGTAAAACCTTTAATAAGATCTATATAAAAAAGGGAAGAGTTGAAGGATCAACTTAAGGACAGACCTTCCTGGAGAAAATCTAGCTGTGTCGTCTCTTAAGAGTCAACAGGAATTGGATAACATAATTTCAGCTAAGGTTGTCAATGCCCTCTTGAAGATTTGGGAGCAGTTTTGGAAAAGACTGACCTGCAAGTTGTGCTAGAGGAGAAACTGGTTGGAGAACCCAAAACTTGTGAAAGAAGACCTTCTTTGTAATGTCGGTTGTCTTTCCAAGTTCTCTGATGGTTTACAAATGGAACTCAGCTTTCCTTGGAGAAACTGGACAATGTACCCCTTAAATATAATTCCATAGTTGCGGGACACAGTGCAATTCAAAACAGCTCACTGCGTCTCTCCTTTAATAACTGACATGCTTGTAAAATATTATCCCAAAATTGACTTTGAATTCCTCCTTTGAAAGGAGGAAACTATGAACTCTGGCCTAAAAATAACCATGGCAAACAACACACGGAGTTCAGTTATCTTGATTTTTTTTCCTTAGTCCATCTCCTACTTCAAGGATCAGATGTCTTGGGAATTTGAGTTTGTCCCATTAGTCCTGGACAACCATCTTTCTCTGAAGCTTGATTTCTCCTACTCAACAATGTAATTAAGTCTTTTGGGATCTTGGATCGCAGTCCTTCCTCAAATCTTTCTCTTACTTCGTGCCCCTCCGGTGCTTTTCCCAATGGCTACTGACAGAACACTGAATTTACACAACGATCTTAATCCAGCCGCTTCAAGATTATGTCTTCCATACCACGGATAACCTGGATGGCCTAGCAAGATTGCTTAGATCTTTATTGCAGCTTCTTCTGACATGAGTCTAGCCAATCCTTGTTAAAAGGTTAAATTTTTTGCAGACAAGACAATAAAGAAAGGGTAGGAATAATGAAAGACAGGATGGAAGGTATACAAAGATCCGGTGGGTTGCTCAAACGATATGCTTAGTAGGAGTAATAGCAGCTGCTTAATTTTTTAGAAAATGTGCTAAATATTTACTTAGTTCTAGAGCTGCATTTCAACCTGTTCATTTATTCAACTTTGACATGCTATGGCCAAAAGCCTCATGGCTGTCTGCATAAATATTGAATTATACTAAAACAAGCCATTAAAAATCAGAGGGGGGAAAATAAAAATAAAGTTAAAACTAGCATATAAGCCAATACAGTGAAATTAACCCAAACAAAAAATGTGGATGATGATATTCATGATTCAAAAACAATGGAACAGGAGATAAAGTCGACAGGAGAAATTCATGATGACTGCAATTATTATGTCGGTCGCAAAGCCATCCAGATGTTTAGACTGGGTTTGACACTGGGTTATTGATAAAAATTCATTTCAAATGTGAAAACTTAGACCTTTGTTGAGCTGGGCTCGTTCCTAATACTTGTCCAACTTGTCGCATCATCTCCAGGTTCTCCAAGAACGTTCATTTTGAATGTGTATGCTACGGTTTGGGATATCCAGCTTGGCGTTCTTAATCAAGGCAGTTTCATTGTTTATTTTTTTATTGGCTATTAGGCCTTCGCTCATCAAACTATTCAGGAAATGGTATTGTCTGAAATGATATAGGGTTTCCTGCCTGAGCAGGGGGTTGGACTAGATGACCTCCAAGGTCTCTTCCAACTTTATTATTATTATTATTATTATTATTATTATTATTATTATTATTATTATTATTATTATTATTAATGGATCATCGCACAGTCAGCCAGATGTTCAGACTGAATTTGGCATTTTGTCTACCTATCGAGTCCTTACCAAGGACCTGGGATAGGCAGATGTGGATGTTTGATGGTATTACAGATATCGTCGCAGGATGGAAGCAGTTCCTAGTAAGGCCGCCTTTTGCAATTGACTAATAGCGAATTTGTCAATGCCAATGGTGTTCAAGTGGTGCTGCAGTTGTTTTGGGATTGCACCCAAGGCGCCTATTACTATTGGTACTACCTTTGCTTGCTTTTGCCACAGTCTTTCTATTTCTATTTCTATTTCTATTATTATTATTATTATTATTATTATTATTATTATTTATATAGATTTCACATTAGAAAAAAAGAGTGCCCAAAATGAATATAGGTAGTCCTCAACTTACGACCTCAACGGAGCCCAACTGGCTAAGTGAGACATTTGTTCACTGAGCTTTGCCCCATTTTGCAACTTTTTTTTGCCACAGTTGTTAAATGAATCACGGCAGTTGTTAAGCTAGTAACACGGTTGTGAAGTGAATCTGGCTTCTCCGTTGACTTTGCTTGTCAGAAGGTCGCAAAAGGAGATCACGTGACCCCAGGGAACGTGGCGACCGTCGTAAATATGAACCAGTTGCCCAGCATCTGAATTTTGATCATGTGACCCCAGGGATGCTGCAACGGTCATAAGTATGAAAAACGGTCATAAGTCACTTTTTTGGGGTGCCGTTGTAACTTTGAACGGTCACTACGCAAACTGTTGTAAGTTGAGGACTGCACGTAATTAAACCCATGACTGAAAGATGATGGTCTCAATTACTGCTGTTCTTCTCTGTCATGAAAATCAATCAATCAATCAATCAATCAATCAATCAATCATATCATATCTTTGCATGTCAACCCGTAATTATAAGAACTCATTCTTTTGAGTGCCACCCACCAGGGACCCCCAAATTTGACTCAAAACCTTCTAGCATGGAATCAATTGGCTTGGAATAATAGAATGAAACGGGACAGCACAGAATGGAAAAAAAAAATATTTTATTTGGGAAGGTCGAGCTGACGCTTGACTTGATTCCATTCTTGTTTCCGCAAGATACTCCGTTGAATTTTTCCAGCTGCTGTTTTGGGAAGCTCTTGGACGAATTCTATCTGTTTGGGGGAAATTAAAAAAGAAACATCTTTTTTTTTCTGCCCCTTCGTGGCAGCCCTGAACTCCGTGGATTTTGGAGGGGAGAGGGCACGTGGAAATCCCAGGACTGTTGGCCAGGCGAGGAAATAAAATTCAATAAAATAAAATATAAAATAAAATAAAGAAGGCAAAGGGAAATTGCTTTGGCAACACTGCCAAGAATCAGCCTACATTTCAGTCCCCATTAACAATCCACAACTTGATTGCGTGTTTGCTTACCAATTCAGACATATGACTAGATTGCAACAGCGATCATTCACTTGTAGAGAAAAGCTTATAAATCAGGCTCTCAAATCCCGTAACTTACACGCTGGACCAACCTATAGATTTATATAATCCTATGCTGCAGGAGCATCCATAGGGTATAGTTTAAAAAAAAAAGCCAGGATAGTGTGCCACAACAGTGCAACACAATAGTGTGAATCGCCTTGGCTTCAGTTGCAACATTGTGGTCCACCATCTTGACTTTTTCGAACATCTGTAAAGGGCAGAAGGAATAACCTGAAGGAATAGGAGAAGGAGCTACAAATAAGAAGAGTCAGATAAAAGAAGGCAGAGTCCAGGACAGACGTGTAATTTGAGAAAGCACCTCCAACGGAATGGATGGGGGGAAAGAAATGATGGAGCTTGCAGAGATGGCAAAGTTAACTGTTCTAATCAGAGAAAAGAGTGTATCTATTTTTTTTTTCTACTTGGAAACCACTTCTGGACTTTGTGCTTGAGACAGAAAAAAAAAAGTGAAACCTTAATGTTGAGTTTAGCTGATTAAATGAGCTGTTGTTATAAATACAGTAAAAAGTTGAGTCTGTAGTGTCGGTATATATTTTACTTCACCGAAAAATGTTGGAAGGCAATGCTTTTTTCCCCCCTTCCCTCTTGCTCCTCACTATTCTTCCCCCCCTTTCGTTTCCCCATTTTCCTGTTACCTTTATTTTCATTTTATATATGATAATCTTAATAAATAATTTGCAGGTGGTCCCCAATTTACAATGAAGCAACAGAGATTTGGGGCTCAAAGTCAAAGTCAAGGACTACTGGCATAAAAGTGGAATTGGTAGGTGTGACTGGCTTCCTAGTCTGATCTACCTTGAAGGGCTGGTGGACACCTCACCTATGCTGCATTTTCCAAAGCCACCAAACATCCATTCATCAACCCAGAGGTAAGCAGCCCTCAGTTATTCCTCCTTCCATCATTCTCTTCTGCAACTTCCCCACTCAGACTTGCCTTCCTGGGATATTTATATGGAGCTGTAGATTTTTTCACGTGGTCCTGGAGTTCTTGGATTAACGCCTCTGGATTGCGGGACAGAAAAGCAGGAGACAAGATGATGAACGCTTTGACTACCTGTATGGGCACAAACATACCTGGGAGTGAACACCTTGAGAAACAGGTTATAAAGCTGGTCCATGAATTATCTTAATCATGGTTCAGATTAGCCAATGCAGATGGGCGCACAATTCAAACCTGACCTTGTAGGCTTTCCGGGACATTTATTTTCTACCGTACCTATTTTCTATTTTTTCCCCCCAAGAGCTGACTTCTGTCCATTCAGCCTGTACACCGTTCTTTCGTGCCGTCGTTTCTCTCTTATTGGTTGAGAAACAGTTCCTGGGGAGTGGCTAGTTACAGGTAGTGTTCAATTTACATTCATTTGTTCACATTACAGGGTATTTCTTTGTATGTGTAATATGATTTGTTGAGCTCTCGATGCTCTCGTTGGCTTGCAAACATGTTGTTGCCCAACTGGATGCCATAACATCATCAGGGGGAGTGGGTGATGCTACCTAGTCAGGTTTCCTGCAGTAGTGGAGCTGATGATATTACTTAGCTGGGTAATGAAATGTCTGCAAGAAAGCCACAAAGCTCAGAGGGCGCCAACAACCCCTCAGTCTTCCTCCTTTTCCTCCTCCACTCTGCAAACTCCTCTCCCTTCTAGTACCAATGAACCTAGCTGGGTCATGAAACGTTTGCAAGAAAACAATCAAGCCCAGAGAGCACCAAGGATCCCACAGTACTCCTCCTCCTCCTCCTCCTCCTCTCTGCAACCCCCCCTCTTCTAGCACTGATGATGTTACCTAGTTGGGTCATAAAACATCTACAAGAAAACCCCCAAGCTCAGAGAGCACCAAGGACCACACAGTCCTCCTCCTCCTCCTCCTCTCTGCAACCCCACTCACTTCTAGCACTGATGTTGTTACCTAGTTGGATCCTAAAACGTCTGGAAGAAAACCCCCAAGCTCCGAGAGCACCAAGGACCCCACAGCTCCACCCTGAGCTACAAATATTTTCTTCTGGGGGATAATTTGTGGTATTTGGACCTAGCTTACCTCTCCTCTAATAGGATCTGGACTGCTGACAACAGCTGATTCGACCACTGCTGGGTGTTCGATCAAAGCGCTCTCCACTTCAAAAGGACCAATGCGATACCTAAGACAGAAGTTGTGGTTTTTCAACTCTTCTGCAAGCGGTAAAGGAAAGAAACCAACTTAGGTCTGGAGAAGGAAGCCTACCCTGAAGAATTGATGATATCATCGGCCCGGCCAACGAACCAAAAATAGTCGTCTTCATCTTTGACCGCTCTGTCTCCAGTGATATAAAAATCCCCACGTTCAGTGGCTGCCGTTTTCTCAGGGGTATCCTGGAAAGAACCAAGCACGACACTAGTACACTATAAAGCGGTATGGACACTTCACGTGATCTTGATGCCATCTCTCTGTTGATGCAGCCTAGGACTGCCTTGGCTTTTTTGGCAGCTGCAGCACATGGCTGGCTCACATTTAAGTGATTGTCCACTAGGACTCCAAGATCCCTCTCACAGTTACTGCTGTTGAGCCAGGCACCACCTATTCCATACCTGTGCAACTGGAATAAATGTATACTAATCCCATTTATTGACGTGTATGTTAAAAAAATTCATACTTACTGAATACCTCAAGAAAAGACAAAATGGTCGTTTGGGTTTGATTCTGATGGCCAAATTTCCTTCTTTCCCAGGGGGCTGAATATTTCCTTCCTCATCAACAACCTTCAGAAATAAAAGCAAAGAGTCCATTGGGTGAGCTGCGCAGTGTAGAAATATGGTAAATAAATAAAGTATTGCTCTGATTGCATTTATTGTTAGAGATCTTCTAGTCGAGGGGTCTTCAAACTTGGCCCTTTGATGACTTGTGGACTTCAACTCCCAGAATTCCTCAGCCAGGCACGCTGACTGAGGAATTCTGGGAGTTGAAGTCCACAAGTCATGAAGGGGCCATAGTTCCCCCACGCTGGCTGAGGAATTCTGGGAGTTGAAGTCCGCAAATCATGAAGGTGCCATAGTTCCCCCACGCTAGCTGAGGAATTCTGGGAGTTGAAGTCCGCAAGTCATGAAGGGGCCATAGTTGCCCCACGCTGGTTGAGGAATTCTGGGAGTTGAAGTCCACAAGTCATAAAAGGGCCAAGTTTGAAGACCCCTGTTCTAGTCCAATTCCCTTCCCAAGTCAAGAGTCCTTATACCATCCCGGTCAAATGTCCAATCGCCATTTGTGACCTTCCCAGATGGCTTCCGACAAGCAAACTCAATGAGGGAAACCAGACTCACTTAATGACATGATTCAGTTAACAGCTGCAGCAATTTGCTTAACAACAACTTTGGGGGGGGAAAGGTAGCAAAATCAGGCACCATTCACTTAAACAGCCGCCTTGCTTTGGTCCCAATTGTGGTGTTAAGTCAAGGACTACCTGTACAGTACATTATTTTTCTTTTAGAGGTGACCAGCAAAAGGAAAGCCATAAAGAGGATGACATCAATGACCACGACATAAAAACAGCCTTTAAAAATTGTATTGTACCGAATAGCAAAATTGGTCCTTCTTACTTGGACATCATAGGGTGGAGATGCTTTCCCCAATGAGCCTGGCTTAATTTTCATTCCTTGGACATTAGCACAGATTGTTACCTGCAAGGAAGAGGAGGATGGAAGACAAGGCGTCAGGACCCATGTTCAGAATGAGGGGATGGGATCAGACCCAACTTTGAAGGAAATACAGTCGAGTCCTTAGTGCTCTTTGAGGTTGGCTTACAGACATTTCATTACCTGACTAGCTGACCTCATCAGTTCTAGAGAGCGTGGGGTTTGCTCCCTGTTTACATACAACAGCTTGCCCTATGAAGTGTTGGTGGGGAGACACATAGAAATAATTCATAAACTGTTCAAAAGTGACAATAAAAAAAACCCAAGAAACGAAAAGAAGGTCCTAAGAAGAAAATACATCCTCTCTAGCAATCACTACCCAGATAAGCAGGGATTAACACCAGACAAACTATATAATAATGATGATGATGATGATGATGGTGGTGGTGGTGGTGGTGGTGGAAGGGACCTTGGAGGTCATCTAGTCCAACCCCCTGCTCAGGCAGGAAACCCTATACCATTTCAGACAAATGGCTGTCCAGTCTCTTCTTAAAAACTTCCAGTGTTGGAGCATTCACCACTTCTGGAGGCAGGTTGTTCCACTGATTAATTGTTCTAACTGTCAGGAAATTTCTGCTTAGTTCCAGGTTGCTTCTCTCTTTGGTTAGTTTCCATCCGTTGCTTCCTGTCTTGCCTTCAGGTGCTTTGGAGAATAGCTTGACTCCCTCTTCTTTGGGGCAGCCCCTGAGATACTGGAATAACTGCTATCATATCCCCCCTGGTCCTTCTCTTCATTAAACTAGACATCTCCAATTCCAGCAACCGTTCTTGATATGTTTTAGCCTCCAGTCCCCTAATCATCTTTGTTGCTCTTCTCTGTACTCTTTCTAGAGTCTCAACATCTTTTTTACATCATGGTGACCAAAACTGGATGCAGTATTCCAAGTGTGGCCTTACCAAGGCATTGTAAAGTAGTATCAACACTTCACGTGATCTTGATTCTATTCCTCTGTTAATCTAGTAGAAAACAATAGCCTAATTAAGGAACTCCTTTTCCCAGCAACATTGACAGGACAAGATGCTGTATATAAACAGGCCACGCTCCCTAGCACTAATCATGTTACCTAGTTGGGTAATGAAACGTCCGAAAGCAAACAACCAAGATTATAAAGCACCAAAGTTTCCCAGTTGAACTACAGAAATTCTCTATCAAAATGAATATACCGTTTCAGTTTGTCCGTATGCTTCATGGATATCCAACCCAGTCTGAATCTTCCACTGCTCAAACACTTCCGGATTGAGTGGTTCCCCACCAGTCACACAGTGCTTCAAGCTCCTGAATTTATAGCTTGAAAAGAAACAAGAGTCAATCAATAATTCACTGTTTCCTCGGCCAGTTGATTTGGCATACGTTTGGAAGGAAATGTGACTTTTGCTGCCCCAAAGAGACAATCATTAATCTCCATCCCGCTGCTCGGTCACCAAGAATGGAGCTCAACCTGAAGATTTACATTTATTTGAGGTCATCTTAGCAGCTCAGGATAGCGTGAATATTGCCTATTTATCTGGCTTTGAAATCCCAGGTGAAAGGGGTCCAAGAATGGAACCCTCGAATTCACATCTCCTTTATAATGTAAGACATATTCACTATATGGGGTATACCTTCAGTTGTGCAAGAAGGCAATCTTAGGAAATTATCTTACCGCAATTTTAAGAGGGCCATCCTTCCAAATTGAGCATTCATGAGAAAATAAGGACTGTCCCATGCAAGTTCATAGTAATAGCAACAAAGCAAAAACAAAACAAAACCCAAACAAAACCTAGACAATTCCATTAAATTTCTAGACCAGGGGTAGGCAACCTTGGCTCTTTTATGACTCGTGGACTTCAACTCCCAGAATTCCTGAGCCTGCCATGCTGAGGAGAAAGGGAGAGGTTTCCAAGCTGAGCCATGCTGGCTCAGGAATTCTGGGAGTTGAAGTCCACGAGTCAGAAAGCGGCCTAGGCCTAGGCCAGAGGTGGGCAACCTTGGCTCTTTTATGACTCGTGGACTTCAACTCCCAGAATTCCTGAGCCAGCCATGCTGAGGGGAAAGGGAGAGTTTCCAAGCTGAGCCATGCTGGCTCAGGAATTCTGGGAGTTGAAGTCCACGAGTCATGAGGGGGCCAAAGTTTCCCTCATGCTGGCTCAGGAATTCTGGGAGTTGAAGTCCACGAGTCATAAAAGAGCCAAGGTTGCCTACCCCTGCCCAAATGCCTGAATTTTGATCACGTGACCGTGAGGAAAAAATATTTAAATATTTAAACCAGGGGTCTTCAAACTTGGCTCTTTTGTGACTCGTGGACTTCAACTCCCAGAATTCCTGAGCCAGCATGGCTCAGCTTGGAAACCTCTCCCTTTCCCCTCAGCATGGCTGGCTCAGGAATTCTGGGAGTTGAAGTCCACGAGTCATAAAAGAGCCAAGGTTGCCTACCCGTGGTCTAGACTTTCAATTTTCATGTTGTCCTCATTCTTCAAGTTTTGTGACAAAAGGTACCTGGTGGCATTATGCTGAACCATCATCCTGTATGCAGTAGGAGCCGTACAGAAAGTTGTTATCGGATACTTTACCAGAGTCTAGAATGGAGGAAAGGCATATGCAATCAACATGAAGAAAATGAATATGCAATCAAGGTAATACGCAATCAGACTTGACCTAGGGTTTCCCTCAGAGGGAAATGACCCAGCCTGAAGTTTAAGACAGGCAGGGCTGCACTCATACAACATGCTAAATCCGAAAGTCAAGTTGTTGCATCTGCCTGAAATTCTATACTCAACAGTGTTGGCCGGTGGGGTCCTTGGTGCTCTCTGAGCTTGGCTGTTTTCTCGCAGACGTTTCATTACCAAACCAGGTGCCATCGTTAGCGCATCCTTACATTTAATATGACTGTAGGTTCAAACTGGGGCAGATGATGCACAAAGACACAAGACCCATGGATCCATGGGGCGAATAAGTTGCTCCAAGCAGTCTTTACCCATCCTGGATCTGAAGTATTCCAGAAAACAGTTGAAGGAGACAGATTCAACCAGTGCCTGTTCGAAAAAATAATAATAATGTACAAGTAGTCCTTGAATTATGAGCACTTCGGGACCAGAATGTTCACTGTTCAGCAAGTCGATTGTTAAGTGAGACACACCCAAAGTTTTTTGCCATAGGTGTTATGGGAATCATGTGCTTCCTCATTGACTTTGCTTGTTGGAAGCTGGCTGGGAAGGTTGCCAATGAAGATCACGTGACCTGGGATGCGAACAACCATGGTAAATACATACCGGTTGCCAAGCGCCCAAATTTTGATTACGTGACTTTGAGGATGCTCCGAGGGTCATAAGTGGGAAGACTGGTGGTAAGGCCCTTTATTTCAGTGCCATTGCAACTTGGAATAGTTGCTAAGCAAATGGTTGTAATCTGAAGATTACTTGTTACTTGGCACTCTCCCAGTTCATCGTTAAGCAGAGCAACTGTGCAATTCAAGCCTTGTTATGGAATCATAATGTTCATAATCAATAATGCTGTAAGCCGCCCAGAGCCTTGTAGTGAGATGGGCAGCAATCAAGTTAAGTTAAATCAAGTTATGTCACGTGAAGTGAAGTGAAGTGAAGAAGTCAAGTGAAGTCAAGTGAAGTCAAGTCAAGACAAGACAAGTCAAGTCAAGACAAGTCAAGTCAAGTCAAGTCAAGTCAAGTCAAGTCAAGTCATAACTAAATAAATAATCCAGGACTTCAAAAGCATGCCATGATACTACCTGCCACTGGATGCAAATCCAATGCCATAACTGCAGTGGGAATGTTCCACCATTTTGGGAGATCCAGTGCTTCCGCTTGTAAAGTAGATCAGCATTAACTCTTCACTTCTCAACTTTACACAATCGTGGTCACCAGAGGCTGCGCTGGAAAACAAGCAGATTATTATTGTTGATATGTAATTAGACTGGAAAGGGAGATTTTGGGGTGGGTGACTGGGAAGGGTCTTTCATAATTGGGATTTACATAGATCACGAATGGAATTTTGGGAAGTTTCTGCACGTCTGGAAGGCAACATCTGTAACTCTTCCAAGAAATTCAGAGCATCTTAGTCAAGTGTGCGATGCAGATATATTTACAACCAGAACTTAAGGAATGTGGGACAGCTGATTGTTAAAAGAACCAACCTTGGTTCCTATTTATTTATTTAATTTATATCCCGCCTTTATAATTTTTATAAGCAACTCAAGGTGGCGAAAACCTATCTAATACTCTTTTCCCCTCCTATTTTCATCACCACATATGCAAGACGGGTTGAGCTGAGAGAGAATGACTTGTCCAAGTCACCCAGCCGGTATTCATGCCTAAGGCAAGACTAGAACTCACTGTCTCCTAATGATTGGCCCAAAGTCACCCAGTTGGCTTTCATGTCTAAGGCAAGACTAGCACTCACCATATCTAGGGGACTGGCCCAAGGTCACCCAGCTAGCTTTCTTGGCCAAGGCTAGACTTGAACTCTCGATCTCCCGCTTATTAGCCTGGCGCCTTAACCACTAGACCAGGGATAGGCAACCTTGGCTCTTTTATGATTCGTGGACTTCAACTCCCAGAATTCCTGAGCCAGCATGGCTCAGCTTGGAAACCTCTCCCTTTCCCCTCAGCATGGCTGGCTCAGGAATTCTGGGAGTTGAAGTCCACAAGTCATAAAAGAGCCAAGGTTGCCTACCCCTGCACTAGACCATTCTTATATTGCCCAATTAAAAAAAACCCTCATAAAATAATATTCCAGCCCAGAAGATGGTGATGTAGTTCTGACTTTTATTGGAATACGTACTGCAATAAGTCCCTGAAGTTCAGCCAGCCCTCTCGGCTTCTATTGGACACAACAAGCTTGGTTTTCAGAAGTTTGCAGTCAGCCGTAATTGAATCCACTGCAAGCACAGACTGATCGGCCACCACAATGCCTTTGGCTTTGGAAGCTTGAATTCTATAGGAAATGTCTTTAGCTGTTAACTGAGGTGTTCCAGGAATAAAAATAATCCCTAGGGGGAAAAAGCAGGGAAGAAAGTGCTTCAGAGAAAAGCAACTAAGATGATCAAAGGCCTGGAGACTAAAACAGACGAAAAACGGCTGCAGGACTTGGGCTTGGCTAGTCTAAAGAAAAGAAGAAACAGGGGAGACATGATAGCAGTCTTCCAGTATCTGAGGGGCTGCCACAAAGAAGAGGGGGCCATGTTATTCACCAAAGCACCAGAGGGCAGGACGAGAAACAATGGTTGGAAACTGATCAAAGAGAGAAGCAACCTGGAATTAAGGAGAAACTTCCCGACAGTGAGGACAATCAACCAGTGGAACAGCTTGCCTCCAGAAATCGTGGGCGCTCCATCACTGGAGATTTTTAAGAAGAGGCTAGACAGTCACCTGTCTGAGATGGTATAGGTTCTCCTGCTTGAGCAGGGGGCTGGACTAGAAGACCTCCAAGGTCCCTTCCAGCTCCATTCTATTCTGATCAGAGAAACCAACATGAAGCGTCCATTCCATGGATAAAGTGAAGCTAGTGTAGGGTTCCTCTATGTGGGGGCCAATAACAGTGGATGGATTTTCCAACATGGCCACATTGGCCAAGGATAATAAGAGTTTGGTCTAACGTATCTAGAGGATTGGGCCTTTCTCAGGTTGGAAAATGGTGATTAAAACAAAAAAAAATCCTTCATTGCTAAGTTCATGAGATGAAATTGAGCCTCCCGCTGTCGCTCAGCCTACCCTACCCTCCCATTGCTTGGGAGATGGACAGGTAAGGACATACACTGGCACTCTTAGGTAGAGTGTCCACTGGGTCACTTCTTAGGAATGTCCACCGGCACTCTTCCTAAGAGTGCTGCTCACTGGGACATCTCTTAGGAAAGTCCACCGGCACTCTTGGGAAGAGTGCCCATTGGCATTCTTAGGAACAATGTCCACTGAGACACCTCTTAGGAAAGTCCACTGTCACTCTTAGGAAGCACAGGCAGAGGGTTGTCTTCCCTATAACATTGACTAACCTGTTCGCATACAAGCCAGAACGAGTAGCCACCACTCTGGAATACGAGGCAGAACGATCATAACTTTGTCCCCTCTTTGGAAGCCACAAGGACCAGTGAGGACATTGGCAGCTTTTCGGGACAAGAAAGCCAGCTCCTTGAAGCTCCACTTCACCTCTTCGTCCTGACTGCTGACCCACCAGAAGGCTGGGTTGTGGACTCGCTTTCCATCCTAGTGGGCAACTCAAGAAGTTAACATTCAAGAAGGGGTAGCTGAAACCTATCCTAATCCAAACAAGATCTCATGGTCAACTGCAAAAGAAAAGAAAAGGTAACCAGGAAGCAGAGAAACGGGCACATCCTCCCCTCTCAAAGCTTGCATGCTTCCAGTAATAACTTTGTGGGAAGAATCCAGAGAAAGAAATATTTTGGGAAATATTAAAAAGGCAGAAGATATTTCCCCAAAGGATTTTAGAGGCAAAAACCAACCCACCCACCCCGCCTTCCCAGTCTCTCTGCCCCAAACAGAAACCAGGTCTGCAGAAATGCAGATGTGATAATCTTGTCAGAAATATTGGAGTCAGGAATCTGGGATTAGAAAGATAAAGATCCCTAGAATCAACAATCCCTCACACCAAAAAAGTCCAACAGTCATCAGCCACAGCCCCAGGGAAGCAGTATATGACCTTTTGGACATAATAGGATTAACTCACCACCATCAGAATACCAGAAAGGCACACACAGACTCAGGTCAAAGTTCATGCCACAGGAACAACTCCAGACAAAAGCCCAAGAAGGTATAAAAACCCACCGCTCCCTACTACATGTGGTCAGTTTTTCCCAGAGCTATCTTTCTGTCTGGCTCTCCTCTTCAATAAACTACAACCTTCTTTCTAAAACAGTCTCCATGTTGTTTATTCCCGGCTTGGACTGGACCCTGATGAAGATTTTTCTTTTAACAACTTCATACCCTACCTAGCTGTGGTCCTTTCCCCCCCAAAAGAAGTGCAAAATGTTACCTTTTCTTCTTGGGTCCATTTGTCCACCACGTCGCTTGCAAAGTTGAAGTACTCGGGCACTTCCTGTTCGCCCCGATTAACAGCTTCATAATATGAGGGGATCAAAGAAGCTAAGCCCCTCTTTGCTTGTTGAAGGAAAACCCAAGGAGACCGCAGATGCCCAAAACACTTGACAAGGACTTTCATGACACCAGCTTGGGATCAGCAATCAATGGTTGATTTCCTGCAAAAACAGGAGAGGGGAAGGAAACGAAAGGAAGGTGATGAAGGGATGGAGAAGGGAAGGCAATAACCCTGAGATTTTTTATCAAGCTACAGGAGCAGCTGAGGAATTCTGGGAATTGAAGTCCACAAGTCATAAAAAGGGCCAAGTTTGAAGACCCCTGTAATAGAGCAAAGATACTGTGTGGCTCTCCAACATATTGACTTATTGCTTGTCTGAAAAATGCTCCTGACAAAGGGTATAAAAAAACCAATTTCTTGGTCTACACCTCACCATACACAAAATAGCTTATTCTGCTGTAAGTGCCCCATCTTGGCCACTTATAGGTTGATGCTGGTCTCTCTGAAGGCTGATGCCTACTCATGCATTTTGCCCAACAGACCTGGTCAAAATTTAAGAGGTGTGGATTTCAGGTCCCAGAATTCCCCAGCCAGCATGGAATTCTGGGAGTTGAAGTCCCCTCAACCGACAAGTGCTGAGGCTGAGAAACACTGCCCTACTGGAACAGGGAAAGAGAGAGTTATCAGATCTGGTCTACCTTGTAGGACACACACTTGAGCTGGGAACCACCACACACTTGAGCTGGGAACCACCACACACTTGAGCTGGGAACCACCTCCAGCAGTTTGGGATCTGAGACCTGTAACCATTCCTTAAAAAACAGAAAAACAGTTTTATCATTTCTGTTTTCTTAAAGTGGGAAGCAGATGCTAATTGTAGCATACACCCCAATGCATCCTAGTTAAAATAAAAAAGGGGGAAAATAAACTCCCCAGAAATAGGAATGTACACTTAGAAAGTTAGCCTGCTTCAAATTCAGAGTAAATGGTTGAAAAGTCAAGCTATTTCCTAAAGACACCACTAGATGGCGCTTTGCCACACAGGACCGTACTAAACTCCGGTGGGAACCATTTTTTCCCCTCTCTTTTATCTGAATTTCTTTCTATTTATTCCTTTAAGATTAGGAAAACCAGCTGTCCCTTGAAGGATCTGGAAGAACAAAGGAAGAAGAAGTCTTTGAATGACGGGTGAAGTGCAAGAATGACGGGTGAATGACGGGTGAAGTGCAAGAACTGTTACGCACAGGGATATGTTACGCATATTAGGGAAAGTTTCAATTTGGTTCCCATCTCCAGGTGGTTTAAAAAAAATACTCTGAAATACTGTGGAGATGCTTTCCATCTTCCTAGGAAGGACCTTTTTTTTTTTTTAAGAGCACATTTCCTTGCTTACCTAATCTCCCACTTCTACATCACTTTGCATCTTTTCGCAACTATTTCTGCAATTCCAGAAACGTCCAGCTCCACGCACAAAACCTGGACACAAAATTCACACGCACCTTTGTTCTGCCTCCCACTGGCTCTTACAGGGAGTCCTTGACTTACCGCCTTTCGTTTAGCGACCGTTCAAAGTTGCAACGGCATTGAAAAAAGTGACTGATGACCGTTTTTCACACTTACGACCGTTGCAGCTTCCCTGTGGTCACGTGATCAAAATTCAGACACTTGGCAACTGGCATGTACCTACGACGGTTTGCAGTGTCCCGGGGTCACGTGATCCCCTTTTGCGGCCTCCTGACAAGTAAAGTCAATGGAGAAGCCAGGTTCACTTTACAATGGGGTTACTAGCTTAACAACCGCAGTGATTCCCTTAACAACTGTGACAAAAGAAATTGTAAAGTAGGGCAAAGCTCACTTAACAGGTGTCTTGCTTAACGGCAGAAATTTTGGGCTTCCTTGGGGCCGTTAAGTCGAGGACTCCCTGTACTCAGTTGCATAAACAGAGCTGGCTTCTGACATTTCTTTCCAAGGAGCAGACAGCGTTGTCGTGGGTGGATTGCATTTCTCTGTCGGTGGTCTTAACTCATTTGCCTAAGTAGCCCCCCCCCAAATCTAGGAGGGTTATAACACTGGACGTGTTCATTTACGGCAGGATTGCTGAATTAAGGAAAAGTGGATTTTTGTTGCTGTAAAAGAGGACCTTCCCACCAGCTTCTAGCCGATCTTATTATACAGAGATACCAGGAACTAAATTTGGAGGCCTTTCTGCTTAAAAAACACAGATTATCTCTGAATTCTAGTCCCTTTTTCTTAAAAGGAAGTTTGAGGGGGGGTAATATCCAGATATTATATTAATCCACTTATGCTTGCGAATGTTCGTGATCTGAGGGCAGGAAGTTGGCAGAACCTCCGGGCTTCGTTTTGAAGAATAGCCTGGATTTACCGCAAATCGAGAACGCTGTCTTGAACTTACCAACTTCCAGACTTCTAGAAGGGGAAGGGAAGGCTTGGCTGAGTGGACTTCTCGCAGTAGCTGCCCGAGGTGTCAAGTTGTGCTCTGTTCATCCTGATCTGTGTCTCAGGGATGGAGCTTTTTAAAGGGGAAAATAGGAAAGACTGAACTGACCATCAAGTGAATGGGGCAAAAGTGATGGGGCAAAGTTCTGTTTGTCTTCAGGGCAATGACCAGGTGGAATTGATTGTCTCCTCTACCTTATCTGCTGAGGACACAGATAAGAGTTGAATGAGAGGAAGAGAGAGGGAAAGAGGAAGGCAAGGAGAAGGAGGANGGAAAAAATAGAAAAAGGAGAAAAAAATCTTAAGTAATCTCATGCATATCTATAAGCATAGGGAATTTAACCAAATATTTCAATAATGAAGAAGAAGAAGAAGAAGAAGAAGAAGAAGAAGAAGAAGAAGAAGAAGAAGAAGAAGAAGAAGAAGAAGAAGAAGAAGAAGAAGAAGAAGAAGAAGAAGAAGAAGAAGAACTCCTCTTATATCACCTTATATGTGACACATTGGGGGCAACCTTCACTCCCAAAACTTCACATCACTTTCAAGCTTTCCTCTCCAGAATCTTCCATAATTACACTGCTAAAAATCAACTTGTTCCCTTCTGCCCTTGTCTGAATAATATAGCATTGGGGTGGAGGGTGGGAATCAATTTAGCAGTCAAAGCCGAGGAATTCAGCCAGAAACTTGCAATTCTCAATGACTCATTTAACACCTCTGGTCCTCTTTTTCAAGTCTCTCTAGTAGACTAACTTCCTTTTTATTTTATTGTCCCAATCCTCTATTTCCTAGAGACAACCCCCCCACTGACATCTCGTTTAATCCCTGAATATTTGCCGATTTCAAAACTTGGTGAAAACTTCGATCAGGCAAGTCTTAGTTTGCTGCGGGAATGAAAACTGAATTCTTTCCTCTATATGGGAAGAATTTTTCAGAGGAGATAATTAAATGTGAAAAGGAGGTTTGGGATATTATTTTTAAGCAGTTGGTGGCCAAGTCCAGTCAAAGGATGATTAATGGCGAGCTCCCAATAATTAGGATGAAATTCAATGTGTCATGGATAGGGCACTGATCAGCATGAGAAGATTAAAAATCCCCCATTTATCAACGGTTTCTCAGAAAAATCTCCTTGGGGAAACAACGGTGTCCCCATTTAACAGCGAAGAGGTTATTATTATTATTATTATTATTATTATTACTTTAATTTATACCCCGCCCTTCTCCCGAGGGACTCAGGGCGGCTTACAGGTAAATAAAAACAGAGCTATACAATAAATATTTAAAAGCCAAATTAAAATATATATTAATTAACCTGTATTAGAAAAATTATAAAATCCCTTTAAAATCCCTATAAAATCCCCCCCTA